ATAACAATGGTCCTATAAAAAGTTGTTTAAGTGTGGTACAAAGTATCAAATCGGTGGGCTATATGGTGGAAGAAGCAGTGCACTCTCAACGAGTGCCAATTGGCTTCAGAATACAGTAGGCCTATATGCGAAAGAAGAGATTTTAAATCCATTAGACTACCAAAATATGATTAAACATAGCCTATAGAGCCCCTAGTTGCTTAAAACATCTTATAGGCCTATATTAAAACCTGACAGGGTTTTTTTTATTTCACGATTCTGAATCAACCACTTGACGGATTTTCATGATTTTTGTGTTGAAAGAAAGATAATTTTGAGAACTAGGGAATGTCGAAGCCATAATTTTAGTTTAACGTTTCAGTTCTTTATAAATAACCTAAATTTAATTTTTTTAAAGTCTAGCAGCCAACGTCAACGTTCTAGAATAGCTTTTGGTATTGGTCTACAATATCATTTGCTTAACGTAACAGCTGTAAACAATCAGCGTTTGCGAGACAAATTCAGCATTTGGATAAAAATGAAATGACATACACATAGGGATGACTTATTTATAATATGTGTACTGTAATGCTATAATCATTGATACGTTTATTTATTCGGTTAAGAGGATGACAGATCATTTAAATATAGCCTACATAGTAAATTACTACCTAGATGTTCTAATTTATTTTTTTGAGCAGTCTTTAAAATCTTAAAGTTTGTTTTAGTGCACTATAATTTGTTTTAACTAACAGCTGGTTGAATATAAAAATATTCCATACAACTATGAGGTTAGTTTATTTACTATGTGATTTTGTCATTGATTATAGGAAATAAGTACAGTAAGATTCTATAACCATTGCTGTATAGGTACGAATCGAAGCTCACAAGTCTAACAAAGAAAGCTTATGAAAATTATTTCACTACCTGTACTCGACTTTTTGAGGAAAGGTTGGGAAAATAACAATGATTACATGTTTTAATTAATTCATCTTGGCAGCTTTTTCTTCACAATACTGTAATTTTGAACTGCTTAAACTATGCTTCAATTAGGAATAGAAATATTGATATAACTATATGCAGTTTTAATGGACTAGGTACTCGATTCCCGTACGTAGGACGGGCCAACAGCTCGTATTATTTAAAAAAGAATCTGAGGTAGGTCGGCTACAGTTACTGCACAAATAAATTTTCTGATTACAGTGATTTATATGTTTAAAAAAATTCTTAATGAAAGAGAATTTATATTTAGAACGACGGACAGAACAGAGAACGGTACTTTCGTACCTATTATACGGAGGCCACTTATTTTACAGCGCACTGCTGCGGTTATGTTGGGTTATCATAAATATGTTTGTAGGACTTTCCTCGTTTCTTTATGAATCGAACGATACCAGATGAGTTATGATTATTATGATAAGCCCACCTAACTTAACCTAACCGCCGCAGCGCGTCAGGTTAATGGCTGCACTTTACTTTACATCCTGTACACTCATTTGAATGAAAGTACCGTATCGATTATTCGATTGTTTCATTTGATATAGGCCCTATCATTTGGTTAGTTAGGTTAGGTTCACCTTACCTAACTAACCAAATGATATATCTATCGATATTTTCATTCATTAGTGTTGGACGTAAAGTAAAGTGGCAGCCAGGTTAACAAATGAAGATGGACATAACTTAAAGGCCTACTAAAACAAAACTTTGACCAGGAGTTATAAATGTTTCCCAATTGCTATGTTAGCGTAAACCTAGACAACATAGCCTATAAACTAATTTAAGTTAAAACCCAGGAATCAATAGGATTGTATAAAAGTGAAATTAAGCCCAACTTAGGTAGAGTAAAATCTACCGATTTCAACAATTGGGCTACCTAGCAAAAATAGGCTAGCAAAGGGTCAATAGACTAGGATTTATGTCATTGTTCAATAATTGTTTTATTGAGTTTTATAATTTGTTAAACCTATCAAAATAGTATTCTTAGGTAGGCTAACTTAAAGTAACCTCTCAGAAGAAAATATTGGTGCTTGTCTACATAATAATATAAATATGTGCATACTTCCTTGTTAATATTACATTCATAGGTCTAACACATATTTTTCAGCAACATTAATTTGACAGCTTTAGGCTTTCTTAAAATGCAAGCCCAAGCGTTATGACCAAAATGTAGCAACACAAAACATCTGTCTTACCTGATAGAATGTCACATAATAAGTGTTAGGAATACCAATTTAGCATCAAACACAAAGCTTGAAGTTTTAAAAACTATTAAAGCACTACACTTTTAGTCAGTAAATACGAATATTTACAGACAAACAACTTCACAATCGCGAAACGCACACACGACCGCCGCCACTAAAAACGAACTAACCCAAAAACAATACAATACATTTCATTGGTTTTCTGACATCACAAGCACAAGACAGACAACGAGACAACTAAAAATGTTGACGCTTGCGCATTCTAGTGATTTTTATCGTAACTACTGAAATCACACTTCGGTTTAGATTTATAAGCCAATAAAATAAAACTCAGCGAAGGAGTATAAGAAGTAAACTTATGAGATGGCAGGCCCACTTTTATAAACGGGCAGACTGAGCATATGCCCAGGGGCGTTAGTGGTTTAGGGGTGCGGAGTTAAAGGCGGCCGTGCCCCAAACCACCGCCCGCCAGCACTAGGAAAAAGGGGAGCGCTGCTCTTGGGTTTGCCCAGAGCTCCACTGACCCTTAACAAAAGTGTGATCCATAAGCATAGACTAGCCTCATGTTATTTAACATGGATACGAGTTATTTTTTGTGATTATATAATTTTAATTGTTTAAATGAGGTTTTAATGACTGACACAACAAGAAAAAATTGTAAACAAAACACGACCCTCCCACAGTGCACCGGACAGAACTAAGATAACAATAAAATTGGCTTCAGCTGTTCATTAAGGATGAGATATCTACTAAGGGAGTATGTTTTATACATGGGCTTATCCAAGCTATAAGATATCCTAAATTAATATGAAAATGAAAAATAAAAAATAAATATTTTAATAATGTTTTTTTTCAATCTTTTGATAAATTTATGTGCGTAAATTTACATAAATAATAAGCGAACTAATGAGCTGGTGTCAACTGTCTGACATGTTATCTTATAGGACGTCTGGTGCTAAACAACCATACTTACTACGTTGCCAATTCTTCCAGGCCGTAGCCTGGAGTTAAAAGTGGCCTTGGAGGAACGATCTTCTTTATTTTCTTTAAAACGCCACTCTAAATTAATGATCACTAGAAAAAATTAAATCAGCACATGTAAATTTAACTTTGTGCACAACATGTTGAATTTGAGGTATACAAGGCCCTTAATTATTATCAAAGTCACAGATAACCTTCAACCAAGATTACATCAATAAACATGTATATTCAAATAGAAAAAGTGCCACATCATCAGCATAACCGGTTACAACCGGCTACCATTTTGGATAGAGATGAAATAGAAACTCTGGTTTTAACCATTCTTTAAGTTTTTGCAAACACTTTACAATGAGGTGTCACTTGAAGGGGGGTTTACATTTAAAATTTTTGAGTTGCCCCCAAAATCTCCCCTTTTGGTTTTGGGGGGACACTAAAAAATTTCAAAATCATAAAATGAAACTTCCTGCTAAGATTGCACGACCACCAAAAGGGTATCTCTGTATATTTACTTAGAAAAATATTAGAGGGGGGGTCTTGACTTTTAATTCACCCTGTAGATGTATGACAATCTGTTTTAATTGTATTAATCATATGACAATGCCCATTTAATGTACATGATCAAAGGCAAATAAATCATTTCATTTTATTAAATGATTTAAGGATGTGCTCGGAATTGAACCCGTCCCTCCCGCACCAAAGTCCGAGACGCTAACTACTAAGCTAGCAACACAACCAAAATCATTAATATTTCAAAATAAAAAGTTGATAGCAAATAACGTGATGTGATATTCATTCAACGAGATGCAACATTTTATAAAAAGTTTTCGTGCACAAGTGTCATGAATTAAACAATGCTAAACACTCTCACGTACTGCACAGCTTCATGCAAAATCTCTTAATCTAGCACTCTTCAAGCGAGCGATTACAAGATAAAAATAAACAACCAAAACCAAAAAGAAAACATAAGACATAAGATCAATTTATTTCCTGCAAAACTTACAACATACAAGTCATTGGAAAACGTCAAATTCTACATTATAAAATACATTATAAAATATACATGAGATCTATGAATAAAAAGAAATTCCTTCAACATCATATAATAAAGGAAATGCATACACAATATGACCTGTAACTCACCATGCAAAGAATGAAAAACAAAACAAAACAGCACACTCGGCAAACATCAGTAAAAAAAAAGTACTTACATAATCTTTTTTTAGTTTATAGAAATCGTCAATACTATACAGTGGGTTGGCCAGGAGGAGACGTTCCACGCCCCTTTTGAAATGGTTGCTTGGAAGGTTCCGGGCTGAACAAGATAACACATTGAATAGTTTAAGGCTTACAATGTCATAATTACTTTGTAATTTCTTAAGCCTAACAAAAGGTACATTTAAATCCTGTTTACTTCTAGTATTGTACGAGTGGATGTCGCTCCTGAGCTCGAGAGCGCCCAACTCCTCCTTAGTTTTGATGAGGGTCTGGAAGATAAACAGATTAAAAACCGTCATGAGGGATTCAGCTTTAAAGATAGGCTCACAGTGATCCAGGCGCTTGGCCCCTGCTACTATTCGTATAGCCTTTTTTTGGAGAAGTAGGACTCTCTCGACTCCAGGAGCGGCACCCCAAAGTCTCAGTCCATAAGCTATGATGCTCTGGAAAAAAGCCACATGATGTGGCTGACATGATGTGGAAAAAACCAACACAACACGAAAACGCTAAAAAAAACCGGCTAACCTGCAAAATCAAATATACAAATAATACTTCTTTGAACTTGCATCTAGTGATCGATCTAGTTAGTTAATTATTACTGTTACCAGAACAGTGTTGACTTACTTTTGTGTTTTGTGACACATTTTAGTAATAAAAATGACAACTAGCGTGGCAACTAATCCATCAACTCTCCTTCCTCTCGGTAAAGTATATTTGTAGGCCTATGAGCATTCGCAAGCATAGGCTGCGAGGCCACGTACTGGTACTAGGGTGCTAGGTAACGTTCAGAATTTACAATTTCAAAATTTAGATGTTTTACTGGAATAACAACAATTCTATTAAAAAACTGACTGTTAACGTCACATCTCTAGTCATGAAATCACTCTTTTGTCAAGCCTTGCGTGCAAAAACAAATTATTCAAACCTCAGGTTCCGCTCTGCCTAATTAACTTATTTAATTTAGGCCTACCAAGATCAAGTACCTAAACAAAGATTTTTTCTCAATATGGAATATTACTATTCTCAAGATTAAGTTATAGTACCTACCCAATTGAATAAGTTAATAATAGCCTACAGGATTGGTAGGCTAGTCTAAATTTTCTTCATATTACTTACATAAAGATGACTTTGTTGTAAAGCCAGGTTTTACTAGACGCGGAAAAGGAGAACAGAGGGTGGGAAAGCGATTGGCGTTCCGCCCTGCTTCTAGGAAAACAATAACATTAAATTACCTAAGACAAGAGGAGTCTACTCTCCGCGTTCCTCTCCCGCGCTTAGCTTTCGCGCCTAGGAAAACCCAGCTTAAGTTGGGTAGACTTCCGTATTTATCTGTTGGCACAATGAAAATATTGATTATTCAATTGTTTCATTCGATATATCGATCAATATTTTCGTTCGGTTGATAGATCGATATTTTTGTTCGGTTGTTTGTGCCAACAGATACGGAAGTCTACCCCTTAAGTTACTTTTCGGATTAATATCGATCTCGGAAGTCAAACTAAAATTATACTTTTTTCTTTATTAAGTTATTATGCTAAATAAGGTTCTAAATTCAAAAATGGTTATCATTTTCCCCGAAAAATTCAAATTAGGCTAACACGGTAAACCGGAAAAATTATTGATCATTTTTTATATTTCAAAACAAATTTAAGTTACTTAAGGTAGCCCTCTATAAGTTAAATTGTGCAGAATTTTATACTGATTGTGAATATGTAATTATTTTTCTCATGCGATAACTTAAATATTAAATGCGCTAAGTTATAATTGAAAAAGTTAAAATAATCTTATGTCAAGATTGTCTATTTTCATTAAAGCTAACTTAATTAAGTTTGTTTTTATTTCTGATCAATACTCCTTCTGTTTTAATATCCGTTTAATCCTATCTTTTAGATATCCTATTTAGGCATGTGGGGAAGGCATGTCAGACTTTATGCAGGTTTGTATCTGCGTTAAAGTGTTTTGAAGCTAGGTTAGATTAGGAAGGTAAAGTAGGTTGTAGTGAACCGACTTGTTAATTCATGTTACATCCAGACCGTAATTGTCCTATTAAAACAATGGGTTAAACAACAAAATAACAATTTCAGAAATGCTTAACCATTCTGGATGTAACAAATAAACAACTCGGTTCACTACAACCTACACTTTAACTTACCCAATCTAACCACCTTCAAAGAACTTAATGCAGCCACAAACCCACATAAAGTCAAACCTGCCTTTCCCACATGCCTTATCTGTAATTTTGAAATTTGCAGCAAGTTTGGTTAAGTTAGGTTAGGCCTAGATTAGAACAGTTTTGTTTCATATTCAATATTTTTTTTGCCTAAATTGGATAAGTTCTCAATCAATTTATAATTAGATGCGTTTTAAGATATTAATACAGATGGAGTAGGCCTAACTTATGGATATTAAAGAAAAACAAATTACGTAATTGACTCATGTTGATTTGTGTGTCATTGACTTTGTGGTTGTGGTTGAAAAAAACAACCTTAACATATCAGTGAGCGCTGCTGTTTCTATTTTGATTGAAAATGATATTTTCATTTTAATAATCAAGCTATGTTTATATTCAAGGTAGTGACGTCATTCTTTTGTTAACTGGTATCATCCTTGCCGGTTCGCCAACTTTTTTTATCATAGCGTGTTTAATATTTACTCCATGAAAAAAATGAATACGTATATTCACAACCAGCGTACAATTCCGCTCAATTTAGATGCCTTAAATGTGTTTTTAAATTTTAAAAATGTCCATAGTTTTTCCAAATTTCCGTGTTAATTTGAATTTTCGGGGGGAAATGACAATCTTTTTTGAATGATTCAGCATAATATTAAAGAAAAAATATTATTTAAGTGTGACGTTCACTTAAAATTTCCGTGTTAATTTGAATTTTCCGGGGGAAATGAAAATCATTTTTGAACTAGTTGTTTGCCCGTTCTACGTACGGGAATCTTGTAGTATATTATATTTATATTCAGAACAGGAGTTGGTTTGCATATTTAGTGTGCATTTTTCCAGATATGCTGGCAAAACTATTACTGTATAGGAAATACATACATATAAACCGTCGCAAATCTGACAGTTCCAAAGCCAAAACGAATGCTTCGCAATTAAATGTCACCCGATCGTGTTAGTCCATATTTTATATTTAATGATAAAAGGAATTGCTTTATAGATCTATGAGGCATAGCCCTAAGGTAGGCCTGTAATTGAAAGTTACTTTTCACACTGGTTAATAGTAGTTAAAATACTACCTCAACCTCACTACTGCACACTTTATTCGGGTTGAAATTTTCATAAACTAAGGTGCTCTTGTCTTTTCCTAGAAACACTGAGAAATAAGGACATTAATGCGTTACCAACAGACATACACACACAAATACAGAATTGAATTGATATGCTACTGCGCTTTAACCAAAGCAAATTACAAACAAAATAATTATTTGAAAGTTTTGATAGTGTCATCAAATGTTATGATAGTCGTTTTTAGGCCTAATCAAACTGTAAAATTTGTGTATATCCGTTGGCAAATATATAAATAAACACACAGTCCCCAAACATTTATACGTTAACAACGCCAAGCTTAACAAATTCATGATGGTTTGCTAAAAAATCTTTCAATAATGTTTTATCATTTCATAGCATAAACTAACATTTTTGAGTCTTAACAGAAAACGCAAAAATTATACAGTAAGACATCAATTAAATTTAATAAGAAATAAGCAATATGAAATACGAAATGCAACAACTATAGTTGTAAATAGTGATGTGTTTGTACGTAGAAATGATAATTGGTACATCTAGCAAACATTCGGAGGAAATGTGACAAAAAACGCACAAATCTGGGGTTTTGGACGTTTGTAGTTTTACTTCCTAGTTCCTAAGTAGGAAAAGTACCGATATCGTTGTCGAAATGTAAGTAAGTAAACCAAAAGTGACACATTGGAAAAGCAAGTTTAGCTACATCTGTAAGTTAAACCTCAGTTACGATCACAGCAAAATCAGAAAGATCTTCCAAGATCGCAGCAACATCCACGATCACCCAGTCACCCACTGCAGTTATGATTTTTTACTTTGCACTTTACACAACTGTCCTTGAAGCGCCGTCAATGAGTGGAAACCTTTTTTGTAAGCTACTTGCGATTAATTAAACCGGTTAAGTAAGGCACAATGTTTTTAATCTCACTTGGTTTGGATGTGCTAACAAAACTTGATCGGAAATGGTTGCGGTATTTGTAAACAACTTTTACTGTAAACATATCAGTGACAGCTAGAAGTGAGAACTAATCCAAACAGCTGATCGTTATTTCATCAAATGTAATAGTAAACATTAGGAGAAAATTTTACAAAAATCGAACAAAATTGGGTTTTTGATGGTTTGTTATTTTGTTTTCAAAGAAGCGAGGCCATGTTTTTATAGACAAAGACACTCTCACCAATCCAGTAAATACAGACAAATGATTAGAACCTTGATCGGTATTCTAGTTTTCTAGGAGTAGGCCGCGTAAAATGACATTTTGGCGTTACAGACGCAACCACAGAATGGATAAACAGATATACAGACAGAAATTGAGATAAGACTCGTTTCGGCTTTCTTAGGCTATGAAACGTAAAAATAACCAAAAACTGCATGATTCTAAGCAATGTACAGACAAAACTGTAATTTTATTTATATAGATGATTCAGCATAATATTAAAGAAAAAATATTATTTAAGTGTGACGTTCGTGATTGACATAGGCCTAATTACCATTTTTCTTTGTCAGTTCTAGTGGTGGGTTATTAGAAAGAACTAGGCCTTAGATCAGTCCAAACATGCCATAAATATCTTAAACAGTCTTAAAACTCTAGTTTCAAATAGGCTACATATTCGATGATTGGATTGCTTTATTAAGTTATTTTTAGGAAGTACGATACATAGCCTGCAGCTTAAATAAATTGGTTTCAATATTTTATTTAACTTACAGGCTATGTAATATATTTTTCAGAACTGGTCGACAAATGCATTGGGTCACGTATTCACATTATTATGAAGAATGATAAAGAGATTGTTGGCACACTGCAGGGGTTTGACGACTTTGTCAACATGCTGCTAGAGGATGTGACAGAATATGAAGTCACACCTGACGGAAGACGCATCACCAAGCTTGACCAGATACTGCTCAATGGCAACAATATCACTATGGTAAGTTAGCTATTAGATTTACCAATGATTTAAATTTTATTTAATACTAATTTGAAACCTTTGTCAACCAGCTCCTGTAGTGTAACAAATGTTACGGCCGTTCTTAGCATCACTGTGCCATCATCAGACATGTTCAGCCAAAGGGCATCGTTATAACACAAAAACTTTTTCACACGAAAAATTTTATTTTGGTATTGTTTCATTTTACCACTGAGTTATAACTTACTTCTGGGATAAACCAATGGGCAACCTTATAATCAGAGAGACTTACGTTATTTCATTTAAAATTATGGTTTGTACCAAGCAATTTTTTGTGTAGTTGAAAATTAAATATTAAAATCATCTCATATATTTGCTTGACTACTCCATAAAACTCAACTTTTTCAAGGTTTGGTTTATTCTTAGCCTAATAAGAAAAAAAAACAGGTCAACTTCAGCTTTCAATAACTTGAACTTCTCATTAAAAATGTCAAGTTTAACGGGTTTGCTGCTACAGGGTATGCAATAGAGTGTTTTAAGTCAATATTTCAGTATGAAATTTTATAGAACTCCAAATTTGATCAAAATATGTTCATAAACGAGCAAACACAACAGTTTTCTAAAGGCCATTTTCAATATGAATTAAAAGTCTAAACAAATTTTCAGTTAGGCTAGGTATTTAAAATGTATCCTTTACCATTAATTACATAACATCGTATCAATTAACTAATTTATTTGTGGTTTTTTAGCTCAACAAAATGATTTGGAGAAAAATGTTGTGAAACTTATATTTTTAGGGTGAAAAATGGGAAAAACCAGCCCAATAAAATCTTTTACCCAATAAAATCCCCATATAGCCCTTTTCCCATAGTTTCAAAATGCTGGTTCGCAAACTCATTCAAATAAACGGAGGTTTTGTACAAAATTTCTTCAAAATCGGATGATTTTTTCTCGAGTCATTGTGCTAATCGAACCATATAATATTATATGTTACATTTATAAATTTATTTGAATTGATCCTGAGTCCAGGTCTTACCATGAGATTTACAGTAATAGCCTAGCTTATTTCCTGTATTAGGCAACACAAAAATTAGAATTTTTATATAAAATAATTATTTTATTTGGTAACATTTTACTAACATATTAAAACACTTTGTTCTTTAAAAAGGCTTTCATACAGTAACCAACAATAGCCAAACTTTTAAAATTTAACTTTCACATTAACACTAACAAAACACTCATAATACAATAAAATAAGTTAATTAATTCTATTATCACCCTTAACCATCAACATCTTTCTTGTTTTTTAGTTGGTGCCTGGAGGAGACATGCCTGGAGAAAATTAATGTTTTGTTGACAAAACAAGAAAATTCCATTAATGTCTTGTATGTAAATATAATTTTTTTACTATTTGAGACTTATAGTTTTATCTCCTCATACCACAACTACTTTTGACACATTTGTAGCACCTGTGACATTGATGGCCTTTTTTGGGGGTCTGCTTGCCAGCAAGCTTCATATATGTGGTGAACTGATGAGTTGATAGGTGAACAACTCATCGGACGATAGTTGTTCTTGACAACCTGGGAGAAGTAAAATGGAATTAGTCAGGAGAAGTCTCACCAAAGCCAAAGCTGTTCTGATAACATAGGTTGTTTTGTAACACCTTTAACCACGGATAGAACCAGACATTTCATTGAGCTAAGGTTGTAACTAGTTTTAGATAAAAATTTATTTTACTTCAATTGAGCCACCAACAGAAGGCTCTGATGTAAATTACTGATTTATGTATATACCAACTTTACATTGCTGTAAAAAAAAACAACTTAAATAGGGATTGTCGATTCTCCCTACCAATTCTTGGACATTTGTATCACTATTGAGAATCTATCGCCAAAAGCCGATACCTATACCCAAAACGTCTGCAAATCGCTTGATCGAGAAACTTAAAGTCTGTCACGATCGCAGATGATGTTTCCATGACCAGGAAGACAATGATGTTCCCATGGAATGTTCAAAATTTTATTCCACTGCGGAAGACAATGATGATGTTTCCGTTACTGCTGAGTGCTGAGCGATATTCCGGATTTTGCAGCAATCATGGAAGACAATTAAGATGTCTGTGTTAAAATAACAATATTAACTTTAGCTCGGTCTGATCCAAAATCTCAGGCTGGCACACCTCTAATTATAATAACATTTTCTTTATGACATTTGTTTGCAAGATCTTCTTTCACCTTTGATATGGTATTTAATTTCATGTGTTTTAGAAGGGTTTTATGTCATAACATACAACAAAAATTGACGCTTAAAAAACCAAGAAAAGCAAGTCACTACAGCAATTCAAGGTCTGTACCATAAATAAAACATACTCCCTTAGTAGATTTCTCATCCTTATGGAACAGCTGAGGACAATTTTATTGTTAGTTCTGTACGGTGTACTGTAGGCAGGGCCTGATTACCCATTAGGCTAATTAGTCTGGAGCCTAGGGCGCCAGACAGCTAAGTTGGGACCGGGGGCGTGAAAAATGTTTTATTCCAAAAAAAAAGGATTCGCGCAGATAGGGAATGAGGCGGGGAAGGGTGGTTCAGCAGATTTTAATAATCATTATATTTATAGTAATAATTGAATGTAAAAACATTTTACGATACTTTTTGTTGCAGATAAATATAGATAAATGCTGTAAAACTAAGTAATTCTATCTAAAGGCCCTAATAAAATTGTATTAGGCCTAGGTGATTAACAGAGTTGATTTAGAAAGTAGTATATTATTGTTTGGTTTTTTGATATTTTAGGTTAGGTCTACTTTTACAATCATATGTTTAATAAAATGTAAAATAAATACATTACTTTAAAACAAAAAGTTTTATATTCCTTGAACAAACGATTTGTTACTATTTTAAAAGTTCCTAATCAAACCATGCAATAATTTATGATCAGTTTTCTTTTGTTTTAAATAAACTGAATAGCGGTATAATGCCTTTGTCCATTTTTAATTTTTGAATTCAGTATTAGTATTCATACTTTGAAATTTTGAAAGTGGTGGCAGTGAGGAGGGGTATTGGTAGGGAGGAGGTGGGCGCGAAAAACGTCAGCCTACTGGCGACTAGACTCTTAGGCCTCGGGTACGATACGAGCGGTGAGCGGCAAGCGGCGAGCGGCAACCTGAGCGGCGGTGGTGGCTACGATACAAGCGGCACATTTATTACGCTCATCAAGTTTCCTAAGTTTTATGAGTTAGTTTAGTATAAAATGGTAAACTATGCTTACCTGCAAGACGTATTGCAACTTTTGTTGCTATCTGACAATTGTTTGCCTTTAAAGAAAAACTTAGTTTTTAGAAAAAAACCTTAACCCTATTTTTTCCCATACTTTTCTGGTGACTGAAGTGTTTTAAAACTTCCTTGCTGGTAATTCCACAAACATTACCTGGACTGCACCTCACGTATCGACTCGTATCGCATGTTTTCTGCTGTTTCCCTGTCATTTTAGGCCGAGCTGAAGCATGACTCACCTGAGCGGCGAGCGGCGTTTTCGCGAAAATCGGTTTTGACTTGGAACCATGCTGAGCGGTGCCGCTCACCGCCGCTCGCCGCTCAGACGTATCGTGGCCACCCTCAACAAATTTACACGCAACTAAATGAGACCAGATGTCAGAGCGGCGACGCTCATGCCGCTCGCCGCTCACCGCTCGCCGCTCGTATCGTACCCAGGGCCTAAATCAGGCCCTGACTGTAGGGGTCGTATTTTGTTTACAATTTCTTTCATGTTATTTCAGTAATTTAAAACCTTGTTTAACCAAAAAATACGATCTAATCATAATAAAAAAAACTCGTCCCCTGGTAATATAACCAATCATTAAAGCAAAAATCAAGAAATTATCCCAAAAATAATTTAAACAAAATTTCGTCGACGCTAGCGCCCAGTGTATGTGAACTAGACATGAAATAACACTCAAATTCTGAAGATAGCCTTTTTTAACTGTTATCGAGTACTATTCCATGGCCGGCAAGTCTAGATCAAATGTTGACAACCAAGCGTGATAAGTTATACTTAGTGTGAAGGTATCGTACTTGGGGAACCATTGATATGTGAGAAGGTTTTTTTTTAAACATGTACAGTAATGCTTGGAATTTTAATTAAGACTAACTCCATTGACATTATATAGTAATTGTTTTGAAGAGGGGTGGAGTATAGCTGGCTTACATAAGAAATTATGAGACTAGATACAAATAAAAGATCGTTTTCCCACTGTTTCATCCCTGTTTATGGACTTCTTCAGAGAGCAGATTGTAGAGGAAATAAAAGTACATTGTATTGTTTATTAACCTATAAAACAAATATTTTCATTTACCTTATACACTACTTGATGTAGGTCCTCTATCCCATAAGGCACTTCTTGATAAATTGTTTGCCACATTGTGATTCCAAAAGAGTAAACATCTGCCTTTTCTGTTGGGTGTTCACCTTTAAGGAGTTCTGGGGCGGAGTACTTTACAGTTCCCTGAAATTAATTGAGAAAAACTTGATTTATTATATGCAAAAAGAGTTTTAGTTCACTGTCTAGTTTCAAAATAATAAACTTTTACTTACAGAAAATCTCTTCCTAACTGTAGTAAAGAAATTAATGACTTACCTTTCTAGGATTATTTATCAAGCTTGTGTTGAACTGATCATAAGAGCTTCCAAAATCACACAGTTTGCAAGTTTTTTCCTCAGCTATGACAATGACATTTTTCGGTTTCACGTCTAAGTGCAAAATACTGTTGCTATGGCAGTATTGTAAAGCACTACCAATCTGCTTTAGGTATCTGAAAGTGAAAATGAAAATCATTACAATAACTTATTTTCCTACCACTGCGTGGATAACATTTCCATTACCTGTAAACGGTAAGCAAGACAGCTTATTTTCACTCTGAAATCAGCTGATTTCACAGTTTTTCCCGCTAACACAGCCGCGGATCCGGTAAGCAAATGACATTACCTTATGATACAACAAGTTAATTTGTGGGTTATAAGTTAGTTATGGTGGTAGGAAAAATATTTTGTGTATTACGAGCACAAACAGTCATTGCCGCTCTCAAAATCTACAGTTCTCGAGCGACAATAACGTACTTTGGACTCTAAATACACAAATAGCTATAACATCATAATCAGCAGCCCCAGTCTACAGGGTGTGTTGATAAGCATTTTCTCTAATCCAATTACTGTCTCATGTTTTCCTTTCATAATTATGTTTTATCTATAATCCACCCTCTTTCACGATGTCTTGCCATTTAATTCATGGTCTTCCAACTCTTCTGCTTCCATCCATTTCTCTCCAATCCTAATTCTAGGCACTCTTTCATCATCCATCCTTGTCTTGCCATTCTGGTTATGTTTGTTTCTGAACTATTTTAACATTTTAATACTATTCAGACAAAACAAAAAGTTGGAGTTAAGTGGAATCCTGATTTCAACTAGGTCTTATACATACCTCAGTTTGTCTATTTGTTTGACTATCTGATCCTGAAGAACATTTTCTAGAGTTTTACTCCAGATCAGTTCCATAAAGACAAAACCAATGTTTACATCCGGTTCAACCATCACCTGAAACACCTTGATGAGGTTTGGGTGGTTTAATTTCAACGCGTTCATCTCGCTGTTTAACACTTCATCTTGTTTCTGGCACTGCGACATTATTTTTACTGCAATATTTTTGTCTGAAATGAAAGGGAAATCATGATTATAAGGCTGTTCTATAAATAAGAAAGTGTTAAGTTAATGGTTTGGGTATGTTAACAGTTACATAAAAATATTATGCCTGTCAAGTGTCCACAAAGAAAAAGTAAGTCCATTATTTCTGATTTTATTTTGTGAGTTTTTACACCTTTGGTATTTTAAGGTCGCCATTTCAGTTAAAAGAATTAAGTATTAAAGTTTTTTGGAAGGGAACAGTCAAAACATATTAATTTTTACAATCCAATGTCAACCCTGACTGACGTTTTCCAGTAATGTAACCCTGCATTTTGCGGAAATAAAAATTCTTGTTTCTTGACCTTTTGTTTAATAGCATCATGAATTGACTGACCAATGACAAATACATTGCATCATTTGTGTGCATCATTTGGGTCCAGAAACAATCCCTCTTGGAATCAAACCAGCAACCTTCAGATTTGAAGGCGAGCTCTATAACCACTCGGCTACACAGTAAAAAAATTATTACTTGATTAAATATTGTTCGTCTACAGTTTATTTTCCAGTTACCGGAAACTAACCTCAGATTAGTACCATGTAAATTAATATCTGGATAGTGGAGTTAGCAAATAATGATGGTATCTAAAAATAAGTCAATGTTAACAAATACTAGGGTAAGTCCAATCCCCTACGAAAAATAACAAATATGCAAATAGTGGGAAAAACAACAAAATAACCTTTTTTATATTTGCGTGAAAATATGATTTTATTCATCGCTGGTACTCACTTTTATATCTTCCTTCCACCACCAAACCGTAACTACCTCTTCCAAGAATAAAACTTTCTTTGTTATTTGTATAAAAACTTGCGGTAGACATGGATTTGCGGAGTGGCGTGTCAAATGAAGGAGGTGTTCTCTCATCACTCTTATGTGATGTCGGATACAATCTTTTAGCTAGCGATGGTCTGGGGCTTCTTTGTGGGGAAAATAAACATCTTGCAGCCTTAAGTGCTTGGGGCGATCTGAAAATTCATATAATGCATGAGGTATCTTGTCATGTCTTAGATAAAAAGTAAGTAAACCTGTAATAATCACATATCAGGATTTAGTTCTTCAGTAATTACCTTAATTCACAAAAGAACTTTTCCACCAGGAAATCAGGTTAGGAAGCGCTGCCAACTTATCCTCTACTTTTTCTGTGTTTCCCAACTTTCCACCAAAGTGGCTAGGAGGTATTGACAACCATAAAACTAAAAAATGTTTGATTTTACTAGCATGTCAGAGGCTGACTATAGCTACACCTAGAATAAAGGCATTACTTTCTGCCAATTCTGGTTAACTATACTCGCCCCTTGTTTAAGCCACTAAACTGATTAGTTTTTAAAACAATTTAATTTTTATTTATCTTAACGTTTATCAAAATTCTGGAAATCATGGTCCTAAAAAGATTTTGTTAAAGGACAAAGACAGCTGGTACCAAGATCATTAACTACTATATTACAGTATTTGTAATTTCTGATAATACCGACTATCTAGTCACTAAAGAGAACAATTTCAGGCAGCTCAGATAAATACTACCCATGGCCTTTTATAAGGTGGACTGGAGGGTAAGGAATAACTCCCAGTAACAAGGGTGTGTTTCAGATACTTGTAACTAATTTTGCTTTGTGTACTGTGTACTTATAGTTTTCTCATAATTTTTTTAATTTGTAAACTTTTTTTAACATATAGACTATAGGGGGGCTATGACCACCTCTTGCCCATGATGCTACAGATGCTACTGACCAATCCAGCATCCAGCACAGCTTGTTCAGCCAAGATCATTTGATGAATGCTTGTCTCTCTTTATGGAATTGATTGGATACATGATGGATAAGATTTTGACTATTATAAAAGTCAATGATACTAGCTTCTATTTGCTTAAATTAGGGACATTAGTCAACCCAACACTTCTATATCCCATCAATCATATCATCAGCCCAAAAATTGTACAAGCTATAGATTTTCATCTTGTAGATATTCCTTAGATTGTTATGCATTTATTCGTTGGTTATTAAATCTACAAACGCGTGTGCAATTAACCTTCTCCCTTCTGAAGGTGAGTAAAGTTTGTTCTTATAAGAATTGCAGTTTCTTGACCCAGAGTTTGGACTTTGAAGTGCAGGTTGTATGGCAGGGACTGATAAGAATTTCCCTTGATTAGTGATTGGGGAAGATATCAATCTGAAAAAATAAAACACACAAATGTGACACAAATAAAATAAAGGAGAGTTTGGCAGGTCATAGACCAATTAATTATTGTTGCCTCATTTAAAGCTATAAGTTATACATTGCTGCATTATTCTGAATAATTTAAATTTTATTTAGACAATTTAAAACTATAGGAGTGGTTATTAACATGGACAGTTCAAGGGGGCTGGGTTGCAACTTCTCTCCGTTTAATTGGGTAACATTGGTTTAGAAAAATAAGGAGGCGGCATAATAATGAGTGTATTTTTACTACGTTATGCATCCTGATTGTCCCAAAATGCAAGTTTACAGTTAAGCTATTGGATCAAAACTTCCCCCCAGGGTTCCATACTAGAAGCCCATTATTTTTTTTGAAAGTATCAGCTCCCCTGTTTTCAACTAGTTGGATTTCTCCATAGGTTAACTATGGTTTTATTCAGGGCTCAATCATAAAAAATTTAGTGCCGGAACTGTAATCCAGGCCTATTCAATTGATAAGTGCCTATTATGCCAATATTTTTATCTTTCAGAAAGAGATGTACCAGAATGCCATTCCGCTGCAAATCGAGAACTGGTTTTTACTAAATGCTACAATGATAGTGCATCATAAATTGTACTTACAGGAAATTTAACTATGCGTTATAAACAGTGTACCTATATAATTAATATGCCAACACGAAATTTGTTCTTTGAACTCCTCCGCCATTTCTTAACTGACATACACGTCGCATTGGAAAGTATGTGTCACGTAGATTTGCAAACTGACCTTACATTTTCGAAAAATTTCAAAAGAATTGGGCTTGGCCCCAGTGGCTTTTAAAATCCCCATGTTATTCTAGTGGAGAACAATCTGTTTACATGATGACCAGCTGGATAATTTAATTGCTGTTAATATTTAGTTTTGAATAAACCTTTTCTCATTTGGTTGAAATTAAATATTTACTACTGTATTTGAATTTGGGTTTGCATAAGTACATATTGAGAAAGCCTGGACAATTTGATATAATTCACCAAATATTAAAAATGAATTGACACAGTAGGTACTGTATTTATTTATTTGCCAGAGGCATTTCATGAGAGTCAAGAGCGAATTTCTTGAGCAGTCCTTGAAAAACCCAATTTGCAAACTATATAGAAACATAGAAAATTCATTGAACCCCGCCAAGTAGAAGAAGGAGATGATGTTTTTTATTTTTTATTTATTATCGATCGTTATTAGCCTATATAATAAGAACGCCTACAAACGATGAACGAGGATGTTAGCCGAAGTGCTACAATTTGTAGTAGGTAACATGGATTTAACTTTGATAATTGCAGAGGAATACCTCTAAGCCTAAATAAAACTGGTACAAAGGCAAGGACATCAAATCAAATATATGTTTCCATAAAAGTCAGGTGATTTTAGAAAAATATGACTATACATTCAATTGAACCTTACTAAAACTTACATTGAAGGAATCAATTTATTAGGGGAGGAATCACAGTTAAGAGGAGGGGGGGGGGAAACCATTTGAACAACATCAGGCTTTTAAACTCTGCATTTTCTCAGGTAAATATAATTAATGTTATTACAGCAACCAAAATAATGCCAATTGAAGCAAATAAAATTGTGACAGACAGGTTATAGGAAATCAGGTACTGTAGTTCTTATGTAATGTGAACAAATGTTATCACTATTTTAAAAAACTAGGTGAAACCCGTCGAAATCGACGGTTACCTTCAAGGCTTACGCTAATTCATCTTACTGCGATAAATTGAGTGAAATTATACATATTTCGAGCATTTAGCATTGTTTAAAGATTAATAAGCGTAAAAACAATAATAATATTAATTGCGTTTTTAAAATTTTGAAGTTTTTAGAAATTGGTTTTTGGGTTACTGTTCAAGCTGGAATTCCTAGAAATGGGGGATGTCAGTTAGTTGTCTCAGCCTTATCAATTACATAAAGTTGTCAATATAATCTTTCTATGGAATGTTAGGTGCAGTGGAATAAACTTGAAGTAATGTTGGCTTTTATTCTTGAACTGTTATTGGCCTCCTAATTTATATGACGTGCAGCTTCATTGGCAAAAAATAATGCAAATTACATAGTAATGAAGCATTTCCAAAAAGCAAAAAATAATGTAAATTGTCTGTTACGTAAATATTGATGCATACATTATGAATCAACGTATCTTATAAAGTATGATGTGATCTAGTTTGAAATAAATACGACTTTCCGTCGTGACAGTAGCTGATTAAATAGTATTTACTCATTGTGCCATTTTTACAGCCAAAATGTCGTGTTATTTTCAATAATGTTACCAAACCAGTGGGCCACGGTCCGTAATATAGGCTACAGTAAATAATTTGTCAACATAGGTACCATTTTAGGCAAGGTTTCTGTGTTTGGATGTTATTAGAAACGGTAAGAGCACAATAAAATTCTACTGCGGATGAATTTTCTGTTGGAGAAATATAAGCCGAGTTATAAATGTCACAATGCGAGTTTGAGCATTTTGTAACCATATTATATGGGTAAGTTACATAGATTTTTAGGCTGCTCAGTGCACTTTAAGAATATATAGTTTAGAGATAAATTAAATGGTTTTTGTTGCCGAGTAGCGCTAGTAAACATGCACAACCCTTCTCGTTAGTCTAATAACATTCAAAGGCTCTCTAAGAGTTCAAGTTCTTATTTATATACATATCTATACATTATTATGTTTTCCCTAAGCTGAATGAATACATTGAAGTAACCTCTCTGAAAAGTCTGCAGTATATTGCAGTTTTCCAGCTCAATGACTTTCTAAATCATGCACATATTTCTACATAAATATTGTAAAATGTTATATCCAGTTGCTGTAAACCCCTATTAATTTAACAAAATATGGACACAGCTCAAATCGGCACCGTGCTCTTCTGCGCTTGTATTATTTTGTATTGTATTACACCATTGAAGATTTTTCCAACGATTGAAAGCATGTATGAGAATAATCTCATGAACCCATGATGATATTTTTAGAATATTTTGACAAACTATAGGGAAAAGGTGTGAAAAAGTCAGACACCAACCCGTGAATTAGATATAAGATAGTTCAATGAGAAATAATTGTCTACTGTGAAAAAAGGATTTTCCACTGATTTCGTAATGGGACGTTATATTTCAACACATGGCATGATACAGAAGAAAATCCAGTTTAAAATCAGAAAATAACATTGCAAATACTTCTTTTGGACTATTCAGTAACTCCCAATAAATGTGTGTTGTTTAAAATACAATTTTAAAATAAACAGCTGTTTTATTAAAAAGTATTATCCACATGACCAAAATGTAAACAAATCTGTGGAGGGATCTTTAAAGGCTTCTGGGACAGAGACCTAATCGAATTTACTTCGTTTTTCTTTTGATAACTCATTTACAGACCATGACCTTTCTTTGGACACCTCTACCAAGTTTCTACGCACAGCCGTTCTCTCAAATTAGTGGAGACAAAGTTTTCAATTAAATATTTAGATTCCCTCATGTTAATCTTATGAGAGAAAATCCAACTTTGATGGATGATCTTGTCCAAACTAATAAAGATATCAAAAAACGAAAAAGACTTTGCAAAACTACGGATCAGGGCAATTATTTTGACACTTTAATCATACAAATCGGTCCAAAAATGAGGGAGGAGTTCTGTTCACAAAAATCGGCTTAGCGTATTATATATATAGATGACTGAAATTTGTAAGTATACTACATATGGCAAAAATGGTGGTACCATGCAGGGGCTACATTATCAATGACTAATCCAATCATGGACAACTTAATGCGGCTATGATTGGGACACATTTTAAGATCAGCTTTTAAAAAATTATAAACTATTTAAAAGAAATGTTGATTATATCAAACTAGTATGGGTATCGTGAGTACTTCCATTAGTTACATAATCTTTGAGTTGACACTTTTAAAAATTATGACCGTTATTCGTTTTAAACAACTCCTTGTAATACTTTGCAATTGCTCATTTTTGAGCAACATGTAGGTACACTAGTTGTTGATAAGAGAACATTTCACAGAATCGATTTTTTTAATGGTACAGTTTAAACTATAGGTAACTAAGTTATCCTTAGTTGTTTGCTTTAAGTTCAGTAGTTCCCCTAAGGACCAGAAAAAATCCAATAATACAAAAGCAATAGTACAAGAGCTTATATTTTATAAACTCAAATAGATTTTTTAAAATTATGTTATTAGGAATTTTTTAAAGAAATACCTGTTTTTTAATGCAAACTATTGGATTAATATTGAAAACTTACTTCAGAGATGGTGATTTTAAAGGTGTGAGTAGGGAGGTTACACTCTTGACTATAGATGATGCCATTGTAAAATTATGTATCTTACTAATTGTAAATAAGTAAATTATTGTTTCCAACCAAGTGTAATTGTAGATATATTTAAAGCAATAAATTGCTGATTGTATTTATTAGTATTACTTATTGCTCATTGATAATATAGCCCTTGGCCCTTCTTTAAAATGATCCCAGATCCCAACCAGTTTGATCATGTTTGACTGTTTGACCTTGACCATATTAATAACTTTCTTTCCTCTTTTTGCCAAAATTGGCCAGCATTGATTAGACTTTAAAGCAGCGAAAATCACGATATTTTATCATTACGCTGTTTGTTACAATAATCATGATTATTACTAAAACTAATCATTGCTGCCAATGGTAAAAATCAAAATTAGGAAATGAAATAAGCATTATCAATTTCACATTCCTTAAGTGAGATTGACTAAAATGAAACAGCTAATCTTAGTTGAACATGGCTAAAACTCCTATATAACTTTATGAATACTAAATATAAAAACAAGATACAAATTGATCACCGACCCGTTAATTATATTTGCACGTAGTAGCCTAAGCTCATAGTACTCATCAGTGATGGCGAAAGCGAGGGGGTGGGGTGAACCGGTGAAAAGCCTTGACCGGGAATATTCGGGGAATTTTACCGGGACTCGGAAACGAGACGGGCCCTGCCACACGGTGCCCCCACACCGGGTGATATATGTGAGGTGCACGCTGCCACATATAAATTACGTATGATTAATAAGTTTTGTATTACGTTAATTTGTTAAAACCAGTAAAATCACTAGGACAGGTAATGAACAACCGCTAAAAACTGACACTACTTGACCGATTGATGGAAATTCTCCACACTGTACTAACATTAAGTCTACAATAATTACAAACTGTCTGCGGGTCAACTAAGGGGCAAGTTTTCGGCTCTCCGTCGACTTTGACCGAAAGGATGAGCTAATGAACCCTGCCATGAGGCCTAAATACACCTTGGTGAAGCGTTTTTTATTCCGCCGAGTGGGGAAGAAACCTCCCCACGTATAGTGAGAGCAGACGACTCGCCCAAGCCTTATTCTGAGGAAAATAACACTCACACCATCGTAAATTATCGCAAGTGCAAAGATATTACTATTTGTGCTCTAAATGTCCAGTGCCTGCCTAGTCTAAGGAATGAAAGTTTACTTGGGTCCCTTTTTGCAGAAGAAATTATCCTGATAATTAGACCAATTCGTAAATTACAAGGAAAAATGTGGTTCGGATTCCACTATAAACTGTAGGTCCCTTAGTTGCCATTAGCTGTATGGGCTATTAATTAACAGCTGTGTCTAAGGAACATGTCGGCCTTAGTCACTAACAAGACTACAAGATCGCGCCACTCATCCTACACTCATCCTTCACTCATATTTGGGTTAAAATACGCACATAGTGGCGTCCCCATCTTAAATAATTGATAATTGATAATTGAAAAATGCGATATCCTTAATTGAGGACCCAAGGACAAAATAGTGACAAGTAATTGCTTTAAGCTAGGCAATAAAAGTAGTAATTTGTAGCGTAGAAATTACTATGAGCTTAATTGCTGGTCGGGGAAGCAGGTTATTGATTTCTTCAATTTATTCCAAAACTATGCGTGCTTGTGGTACGTTTCTTCAAAGAAGTAGGAACGTCAAAGAAGCACCATCGCGACCACGGAACGCGTCTGCGACGATCAGTGATCACGCTTCACGCCCACTCGATTGAAAGATTCGCGCTTTTGCCGTGTTCGTGGGCGGCAGTAAAACTTCAAAGGCAGTTTTTATTAACTTCTCATTTTTATTTTGTCAAGCAAACCTCTAGTGTAAAACCTCTTCCTTTTGAGTAATCAAGGGCCTAATTATTGTGTTCACATTTTAATTGGAGGTGATTTTTTGTTTATGTTAAATCACTTTTCACTTACAGCATGAGGAGTGTGTTATGCTTACAGTATGAGTTACCGTATCATAAAATAATAGCAATTAGGTTTACTGTTGTCTTAATAAATATAATGTTAGTTTTATCTAAATTACTGCATTTTAGAACCCCCTTTCTAGAAATAAGAGAGTAACCAGATGAAAATTAGTATTCAAGCTATGGTTAATTATTTATAAGACGAGAGACAGTGCATTGAGGAGTAGCATTTTAAGTTTTCAATCATATATCCAACAAGGTTTTTTTTGCCGGATCTCATAAGTGATGAAAGAAAAATTTGGTTCACACATTTCACATAGTACGCGTTTTTAGTGATAATACTCATTGCTCGCGCGTTTACTAAAACACCGTCCTGTTCAAAATAACTCCATGGACGAAAAATTTTGGCGGTTGGCCAATGTTTGATCTTTGATCTTGATGATTTATCTCAAATGTCAAAACAAAACAAAACCGAGCCTAAGATAATGTTTAAAAAAAGTTGTTAACACTAGTCCTTATCATCTTAGGCCTAAGTTAAATTGATGTAAAAATTGTTTGGAATTGATTACTAGTTCAAGTGGCGTGGTTGCGTATATACTTATTTTTAGCGAACGTGAATTAAGTAAACTGAAGCTGTACCTACACTTCTCTCAGGTAGGGCCTTAAAGTTTTAAGAAAGTTAAGTATGAGTATACAGAATTTTCATCAGAAACAAATATATTTAAGAAACTAGGCTACCCTATAGTAATCAAGTAAAAATATTTTGTTTTAGTTCAAATTCATCTACAATAATGTAATTCTGTATTGCTCGTGATGTTTTGCAATCATTCAAATCGTTACAATTGACAACACAACTTTTCATACCTAACCTACCAGCTAAAGTCAACCTTAAGGGAATTAGAATCTCAACAAAACCTAACTTAGGGGTTTATTACTGTTATAAGCAGAACACTAGAAGTTAGCCTAATTAATGTACTTAAATGTATTGGGATTGAATAAATGATTACAGTGTCATTCCGGGTACACTTCCATATCTGTTGGCACAAACAACCGAATGAGTAATATCGATCGACATATCGATTATTCGATACATCGTTTGGTTAGTTAGGCAAGTTTAACCCCAACGATATATCAAATTAAACAATCAAATTAACAAAATTAGGTACTCATTCGGTTGTTTGTGCCAAGAGATATGGAAATGTACCCGCCATTCCTTTAGCGTTGCAATGTCATGGCTTAACTTAATGCTGGTTTATTGGTAGTTTTACACTGATCATTCTTTATAAATTTACCTTCTAGGCCTATATGAATCAAACATGACCAGAAAAATTTTCAAAAATGCTATTATCGGGAACAAGACACTTTATCGAGCTTACTTAAAAGCCTACTAACCTACTTTTATAACTAGGCTCTCCCCGGGACTGTTTTCACTTAAGTTTAGGATTATATAGAGGTTGCAACATTATCATTTGGCTGAATTCCATTGTTGATTGGCAGGATTTTAACTCGTTACCTCGATGACTTATGTCCTCCTCTTTACCACTAGACCATCTCACCTTTCGGAGTTTACTTAAGTTAACAGTAGGTAAATAAATTGGTCGTTAAATAGTATTACGAATCCCACAAATAGTATTGTTTTGTAAACAAGTTGATTAGGACAGACTCAAGAAGCTATCTAGCCTAATTAATTTTAGTTTTCAAGTATAACACATCAAACCGACCTATCTTGGTAACCATGAGAGATAGGCCTAGTAAGTTTGAGCTAATATAAATAAAGTTATTTGTTCTTTAGAGAATGGAGTCATGTCCAAGTACACCACAACCGACTCTCAGCCATGAATTGCGAGCTTTAATCAATCAAAGGAATATATTGACTGCAAAGTCAAAGTCCAAAGGTTAGTGGTGTAAAATGGCCTGGTGTTTTTACACTGTGGCTAGTGTGTAGACTAAATGTTCAAGCAGCTCTTTTAAATTTATAAAGTATTTGGCATTTATTTATTTTTAAATAACAAGGTCTAAAAAATAAATTACATGAGACATGAGTAGATTTCTCATGACAACCAGGCCATTGAAAGAGTGTGATCATTGTGAGCAAATAAATGGATCTAAATAGGGTTTAGTTAATGAATGTAAATAGTTCCTCTTTGATGGAAGTGTAGACCCATTGTTATATAATATGGTAGAAGTTTTGCTAACTTAGAAATATTCTCATGCTGTTTCAACCATACCACATCCCCGCCAAATCTTCACTCACTTAGCTCATTTTGTCCAATGGCAGTGAGATTCTACTAAAACAGGTTCTTATAAAAAACTATAGGCCTAGTATTCCTGGTTGATAATATATTGAATCCAGGTTAGTAACACAAGAAATATACGTGTGGTAGGTTTTTATTTTTCAAGAACTATTATTACAGGGTGTCTAACGGTCACGGAAATCACAGCAGTCGTGGAAAAGTCACTAATTTTACTTTTAGGCCACGGAAGTCACTAAAATTCCAACCTATGTTTGTTACTAACTAACCTTGTTGGGTGTTAGTTAATCATTATTTTTCTTACTCAAACAAATGGTTAGTAATTTTGTTTGTTATGTTATTAGTACTCAATGCTCTTGACAAGCAAATTGAAGAGAACAGAAAGAAGCAGCAGTTGGATTTAAGGAACAAAGTCATAGAAGAAATATTTACGTCAGAAGTATCTTACTTGAGTCAGCTAGAAGTTATTAAGAAGGTATCTATTTATCATATTTTACATAACAATTTTTTCCAATAAAACCTATTATAATTTGAAATGATGTTACAACTGAAACCTGTTTTTTTAGAGCAATCAATATTCAATATCATTATTAAATAGGTCTTATTAAACCGTTGAACCATAGTAAATGTACTTAATTAAATGCCTAATTTTTACAGTGCATCTCATAAACAATATCCAAATTTTATTTAGCCTACAAAAAAAGCAAAATCCTGATCAGAGGTCACAAAGAATCCAATACTGTCAAACTCGACCAGAGCCGCCAACCGTTTATTTTAGGTGGGCCTCTCGCAACAAGTTCGGCCTTCTTATGAGCTGCGCACAAAACCTTACCAAGATAGGATTTGAATCCTCAATCCGTATTGTCAAGGGACCTCTTTTTAGACCTGTCAACGACTGATTCGACCTAACACTAATAAAACTAGTGAACCCATAAAATAAGCTCGTTAATATTTTCTGTGATTTTCTAGTATTTCAAAGAGCCGTTAGAATCATCAGACTTGATCTCCGGCCCCACAAAACGAACTCTATTTGGAAACATTGAGTCCATATACCAAGTCAATGGGGAACTCGTAAACCAACTCAAAACAAGAGGAACCAATGTTGCTGCAGCGTTCCTGCATTTGGCTCCATTTTTCAAAATATATTCTATGTATGCTTACAACTACAAAAGTGCCATACGTTTACTAGAGGTAAGATACTAGAGATACTAGGTAAGAGGTACTAGGGGTACTATTTCCCAGTTTTAATTTTTTGAATTTTTATTCATAATGGTGGGTTTTTTACAAAGAAAAATCAGTTTCTAAAAAATGGCTCGAATTATTTTGATTTAAATTTAGCACTTTAAATTCTAGCAAAGTCATAGGCCTACTTATTTAATTGCTGTAAAATTACAGTTTTAAATATATTTTAACTTTTGTGATTTTCCCCTATAAAAATTATAGTTACAGCCTCCACTTACCCATGATAAGGGTTGTTCACAAGCTAAATGGGAGAAAGTATGTGCCAGGTTGCTAATATTGTATAACGTTGTTTGAAGGACCTGCCGACACACAACCCTAGACTAGGAGAGTGGATAAGAAGCCAGGAAAGACGACCTGAGGTGGGGAACAAGTTGAGTGCTCTGCTGATAACACCTATACAGAGACTTCCGAGGTACAGACTTCTGCTGAGACAACTGTTGAGTCTGACACCAGATAGTCATCCTCACAGGACCACACTTGTGGGTAGGTACACTCTACTCTTCGTCATTCAAACGCTCGAGAAACCAAAACTTTTCATAATTGAAAATACAAGCTCAGTCCGTAGAGAATCTCTTAATTCAAAGTTTTACCATACATTTTGATACAGATATGTCAAAATCCAAGCAGAGGGTAGGCCGATTTGGAACGCTCAATTCGTAGTTTAGTCTGCAGAACATTCTATAATTTGAAGGAGCATTGGACGAATTCCCTTCCTGTCATAAGAGGAAACTATAGATCCTATTAGCACAGAAGTTTGTCTTAAATAATGTCATTTTGTTATAACTAACTAATAAATAAGCTGTTGTTGCTTGTTGTAAAGTAAATCAAACAAGCCATTTAATTGTACCGTTCTGTACCTTAATAAAGTATTTAAAAAATGAACTCTTTGTAGTTTAAATGTTTTTAAATCGAACCTAGCTCGATAATTTAAACCTCTTGACAACTCAAATTTATTTGCTTGGCCCACCAATTTTGAATCATCAAGAGTCTGTATTGGTAAATTTGTAAAATGTTTGTGTCTGGTAAGAACTCAAATTTATCCTAAAACAGAAAATCTATTTATACTGTACTTATTTAATACGCAAGCATGTTTTTTGTGACAATTACTCCTCCTAAACTACTGAACCGATTGACATGTTTTTGGTGTCATTGGAAAGAGCGTAACGTGAAGTTGTGCAGGAAACTTTCTTTTTAGGGAAATAATCAGAGAGTGAGGCCCTGGGGCCCTTTAAAGTGTCGTATTTCTCCATAAGATTAACATGGGAAACAAAAATGTTTATGTAACTTCAGCTGTTGTTAGAAAGTGAGAAGAAGAACATATGTTAATTTTAAACAGTCATTAAGTTTGCTAATTTTACAGTTCGCTACAAACATTTACTGACTTGGTTGAAATTAAATGTTTACTATTTGAATTCGGGTTGGCGTAAATATTACAATGGAAAAAAGCGAGAGAGCCTGGATAAATTGATATATTCTGTTATGTACATCTTGAATATTTCCATAATCTTTGGGTCGAATCTTTTAAAGTCATCAGAAATTATGAACCTTATTCCTTTTAAAATAACGCCTCTAATACTTAGAAATTGCTCGAATTCGAGCAACAGGGACACTATCATTAAATCTGTGTTTTTCTTCCGTTATACAGAGGCAGTGAAAGAGGTAGAAAATGCTACGTCACACATTAACAACCTAGTTTTTGAGCAAGAAACACACTCAAGACTACTGACACTTCAAAATTGTTTGCTCCGCTCGAAACCTTGTATTGTTGGGCCTAACAAGAAACTGTTAAAGGAAGGAATACTTATGAAGGTAAATTTTGTTTCTATTCATGCTGACCGCTTAGCCAGCCACGACTTTCTTTTCATAGTCATATAGTCAAGTCGTTGCAAAATTCAAACTTATTTAAATTTTAAAATTTGTTTGTGAAATTAATGTGAATACTGGATTAACTAAAATAAAGTGGGCAAGTCTGTTTTTTTTTTATAATCTTGATTTATAGTAGGAATATAAAGTCAATTATGGTTAGAAGAGATGTAAAATAATTGTTTTCAAGTTATTGTAATTACTGAAAAAACAAACAAATTATACGTCTAATAACACTAGTAGTAATATATTTACTTACACTATTTGGTCTGATGATGATTGGAGTGTCCAATCAAAATCTATCACCACTTCCCATCTTTCATATGTATTTACCGTCTTGTGATTCAACAGTATAACTGTAAATATATTATTACTAGTGTTATTATACGTATAATTTGTTTGTTTTTTTCAGGTAATTTAATAACACCTACGATGCTGATCAGGAAGTAATTCTGTGATTACTGTTATCTTAAAATCAAATTGTATAAGCAAAATCAAGATTCATACAAAAGTGACTGCAATTTTTCCTTGCTTTATGGCTCACATTACCTTCTACTATCTCATTACCTGGCCCAGGGCCGGTTCTAGGAATTTTCCAGAGTTAAGCGAACACTCGAATCAGCGCCACTTAGGATTCCCCCCCCCCCCCACAAACCAATAACATAACATAACCGTATTTGTGATTTTTTTCCCAATAAGAAGAACTTTTTTTATAAGCTTAGGTTAGAAGAATACTTGCAATAAAAGACTGTTTATTATTCGCAGAAATTTAACATTTTTACACTTTTACTCATCATATAAACTTAAGCAAAACCAAGGCCACAATAAAAAAAAAACAGGCCGTAATCAAGGCCACACTAAAAAAACAGGCCGTAATGCTCGTCAATCATGACGTCACGATAGAAGACGGCAATGACGTAATTAAGGTTATGTTTTTGTTTTCCATGAAAAGATTAAAACAAGCAGCTGATCACAAACGGTAAACATGACTTCTTTGGGCTGACTGGACTCGCCACCAGATGATTTAAACAAAAATCTAGTTTTTTACTTTCTCCCCCTATACCATAGTATATGGAGAAAGTATTGTTTTCGTCAAAATTTTCGAGTTTGAGTTTTGAGTGGATATATTCGTTTTGGGTCCCCCTGGACCCAAAAAAGTGGTTTTCGAAGTGATGTCTGTGTGTGTGTGTGTGTGTCTGTGTGTGTCTGTGTGTCTGGATGTGTACAGAGCTAGAGACTACACATGTTGTCCGTTTTCGATGAAATTTGGTATGTAGTTTCTAATCAATGGTATCTCTAGGCGTTTTTTTTCATTTTTTTGAAATTTTGATTTTTAATGGGAATTTTCCCATAAAAACCCATAAAAAACCGGAAAAATCGGATTTTCACAAAAATGGCCCAAACGATTTTGATAAAAATTTAGTATGTTGTAGCCCTTTAAATTCTGAACACAATGATACAAATCCCATTTCTGTAAAAATTACGGTTCAAAAGTTATGGTAAATTATGTTATTTTCCCATAAAAATCCCATAAAATAACGTAAAATAGGATTTTAGACAAAAAATCCAATTTTATTTAACATAGTATGTTATGATCCTTACAATTTTGATAGTTTTTCTCATTTCTTAGAAATTTTTATTTTTAATGGGTATTTTCCCATAAAACCCCATAAAATGACGGAAAAAAAGATTTTCCCAAAAATGGCCTGAACGATTTCGATAAAAATTTAGTATGTTATAGTCCTTTATATTCTGAACAAAATGGTACAAATCCCATCTCTGTAAAAATTACGGTTCAAAAGTTATTGTAAATTATGTTATTTCCCCATAAAAACCCCATAAAATAACGGAAAAGGAAAATCATATTTTCCCAATATTGGCTCGAACGATTTTGATAAAAATTTAGTATGTTACAGTCCTTTAAATTCTGAAGAAAATCTTACAAATCCCATTTCCATATATTTACTCTCACCGCTTACACATGATAAAGGCATAGACTAACCAACACAAGTAGACTTCTCATCCCATTGTAAATTTTGAAGCACGTTTTTCGTGTCTAGTTCATGTAAGTGACACAAAGGCGCTAGTGTCGATAAAACTTTGTTTCCGTTATTTTAGGGTTAATTTCTTTATTTGTGCTTTACTGTATGGTTATATAACTAGGGGACAAGTTATTGTTTATGATTAGATCGTATTATTTGGTTAAACGAGGTTTTAAATGGCTGTAATAACGGGAAACAAATTGTAAACAAAACACGACCTCTACATAAACCGTACAGAACTAACAATAAAATTGTCTTCAGCTGTTGCATAAGGATGAGAAATCTACTAAGGGAGTATGTTTTATCTATGATAAAGGTAGTTGACAAACTTATGGGAGAAAGTATGTGTCAGAATGCTGATACCGTTTATTATCTTCCTCTTCCAAATTCGCCTTACCCTTTTTATAATAAGTGCCAGACGTTTTCTTTTTTTCTGCCATTGTTTTCTTAGTATTGGCTCGCTAGATGTTTTACTCATTTATTCAGTTTATACTTTCTTCTTATTTAATGCGCTATAATTATAAATTAAACTTAAAACACTCGTAATCATTCACTTATCAACAATCATGAATCATCAAAATAACGCCATTACGATACCGATACACGCTATACGCTAATACACTAAAGAGTGCAATACAACGTTGTGCTCTGTTCTAGGATAAGAGTCAGAAGGGAGGGGGAAGTTTCTTGTTGTGATAATTGGCGCTGCACGCTTGCTTATCTCATCTCGAGTATGAGTGAGTCGTGAAATAAAACCCACAGGAGCCGCGCCGTACGCTGCCGAGCGTCAGCTCACTACAAAATCGAAACTGCAAATTAATGGCATTGAGTCCTTGAATTGTAGTGCTGTAAACATTTTTCAAGTGCTGTTGGTACAAACAGGATGAATGCCTTTATTGTGGTATACTTGAACTCTGAGCGAAAATAAACAAAATTACGTTGTTCACGTAAAAAAATTGTTCCGTTGGCGTCACGGCGCCACTTTTTCGTGGCGCCATATGCGGCCGCGTAGTTCGCGTATGGGTTAAACCGGCCCTGACCTGGCCCCACATCGCGGGGTTAGCTTTAATTATAATTCTGTAACTATTGTCTAATTTTCTTGGTCAGATGAGTGCTAATGGCCAGAAGGCGCAGAAACGTTACTTCATCTTGCTTAGCGACAGTGTTGTGTACTGCAAGCTACTCGCCAAAGAGGAAGGAATGCCTCACGAGAGCGGGTCGCTACAATCCTGTTGTGTGCTGCCCATTGGCAAATGCAGCGTCGAGAACGTTCTCGGTCAAGGTGTGTTCAACTTGACTTGCCGCAGCGAGACCTACATTCTGTTCTCGGAACACCGCGAGGACGCCTCAGATTGGGTTACGGCCATCAGAGATGCGATAGCACAGGTACATTACCAATAGTCATTTTAGAAAATTAATTTTTTTTATTGGTCTAAAGCATTAGATAGGTTTGTAATTGGTTTTAATTTTTGCTTGAACAGCAACTGTTTAGTACTGTTTATTCTGCATATGGAACAGAATACTCTGCATAAAAGTGGAACAGATTTCATGCTCTCGTAAAACCTCTCATGAAGTCCTACCGTATTGCCTACTAAGACCAAATAATATCAGTACTAGGCATAGGTTTTGTGTCCCTTTACTGTGTATCCATTCAAAAGTTTTATTAATCGTTAAATAAAATGTGTTACTAATTACAATAGATTTCATCAAATATCACCATAAAAATAAATTAAATAACATGACTAGGCCTACAAAAACAGCTTGAATGATATTAAACATTTTATGCCTAGTATTCCAGATAGTAAATAATCAGTTCTAGCAATCTCAATTGGGGAGGAATTAATTTGGTTACAATAAATAAACAAATTACCAATGTCCATATATTTTGCCCTTGGACTCAAATTTTTTCATTTAAGCTATCTGAACTCTGATAGCTGAAAAAAGTTCCTAATACTTTTAATACCACATTTCAGCAATCTCAGCTTAAGTCATAAAATCGAACAAAAAGTTTGTTCTTCAACATATTACTCATTTTGACATTTTGACATTTTCAATTTTATATTGTTTGTAAACAAAAGATGTCTTTCCTAAGTTAATCTAAAAATAAGTTATGATTTATGATGGTTTATACATGTTTAATTAATTTTACTTTTGGCTTTCATACCATGAATCAAATTAGGACATAATGTAAATAAAACTATGTAAAAAGATGACAAGCAGATCTTTACTTTCTCTCTGTACATCTAAGATTTATAACAAGATCTAGATTTTCAAGGAAAACCAGTATTTTTTTAAAGGGTTTCTGCTTTGAAATAATTGTCACTTTTTGTTTACAGCATCACGAGAATTTGCAAACTCTCAGAAAGAAAAGTAGTTCTCGTCACACCCTACAAATGACCAGGAAAAGAAAATTGCTAAAAGTAAGTGCATAGGATTTCAACTTACCTTCTCAGTTATGTTAACGACAATAATAATCCTGCACAAACAATCAACTGTCAAATCATTAAATCAAGCCATTTCAATTTCTAGAACAAGAATTTCTACTAAGATATTTAAACCAATTCAATTTGTACATTAACACCAAGTTAGAATAAATATTTGAAATAATATTGTTTTCTTTTTTTTTATTTGCAGGAAAATAACAATCCAAACAACGGAGAGAGTCCTATGAAAAAAATGAAATCACACACAAGCAGTCAAGTAAGTACTGTACATTCTGGTATGGAAGTACTGTGGATTATTTGTTAAGAGAATTATAAGAATACTTTTATATATAAGATAAACCCGTATTTGTAGTTCTAGAACTCCCATGCATATTTGTAATTGACTTAGTAAACGGAATTAGACAACATATACAGGACCATATTTAGAACCTTCCTGGCAGCTCACACCAGAGAGGCTACTCTATTCCGATTCAAGTTGTATTTCTACTCGATGAACTCGATCCTTTGTTTTCAATGATCCGATGGGCGAAAATACCTGGGAGACTACAAGTGAGGTCCAGCCTACCTCTACAAGGGCCTTGAGTCCAAAGTTAACCGGTCCTCATCCACCCCACCAATCAGGTTGTTTAGCTTTCCACGCCACTCGGACCACTCTTCAGAGGTCATTCGTCTTGAGCGGCCTTGCCCAGTTGACATCCTGATGTTTGAGCTGGCCTGCCGTTTCCCGAATTACATCCACACTGGTTCACAGTAAAACCAGGTTTCACACATCCAAAACAGGAGACGGTCCTCGGCTTGCCACATTCTCTGGCATAGTGACCAGTCTCCTGGCACCTAAAGCACCGTACATTCATTACACCATTGGACGCTTACCCTGCCTCGTGGGCCTTTGTTCGTAGACCTGGTTCGAGTTTGAGCCTACCGTACAACCAGTAGACTTTGCCTCAGGAGATGATGTCTCAAAATTACGCCTTTCGTAGGTGGCAGTCTCAGGGTGCTTCTCAATTTTCTTCCTGGGAACGTAGGCAATTTCCAAAACCAGCGCTACGTTTGGTGAAGGAGGGGGTTGGAAGGCCACCTTCTTGGCTCTAACGCATATAAGCCTCATAATCTTCAGCCAACTCAACCATCTTGGCCAGGTTGCTGAAGACACGCCGGTGTACCATGAGTTTGTATTCTGGACGCATGTTGTAGTCTCTACACGACGTAGTCTCTAAAGTGTTCGCCCTCACCCTGTGTCCTTTTCTGGATCTCCTCATCCAAGTTCCTTCAATATCCTGGTGGGAAGGACTTCAAATTGATACCGGAAAGCTTTGAAGGAATACAGGAGCTCCTTGCAGTTCCTGTACCATAGAAGTGCTGAACCTTGCAGCAGGTCCTCCGACGATAATAATAACAACGAGGAATAACACAGGGTCTCATCGGCCATCAAACCTTAAACCCCACTTCCGTACCTTGTTGCATACTTTGGAGCAGTCCTTCGGCTCCACCCTGCTGGCCTCATTTGAGTCTTGTGGCACCCCCAAGCTAGAAGGACGGACTGCTCTCTCAGATATATCATTGGGCCGCTGCCATCCCTTGGGTCTGCTTGGTAACCCAAAGGTAGGCGTGGGAGCAGCCACAACAGGGGACGTAGGGTTGGCAGGCCAAATTTGAATCTTCAACTAATAAATTGCTTTATTTCAGGATGAAGACAAAATGAAACAACATTGTGACGGGAAGGAAAATCCTCAGGCTTGTCAGGTAAAAATATAAAATTCGGAATGCAAAATACACTGATTGCTATATTTATGACATACTGTGAAAAATGTTAACAAATAAACTTTGATTCAAAGTATTCAAAAACTAGGATTTGAAATTTTTGCTGAAAGGTTTTCTGGATACTTTCTTTATGCTTTCTTTATGTTCAAGAAAGCTTTAAAACTTAAAAATAAAGCTAAATTTTCTCTTTCAATACTAAATTTCATAACAGAAGTAGAAAGTGAGTCATTACATATTGGAGACCATATGTTTAAAGTGCACAAATTTATTGAGCACTTTAAATATACAGTAGACTCCCTCTTATCCGGACTCCTCGGGACTGAGGCCAGTCCGGATAACGGTTTTTCCGGTTAAACCGACGTCCCCAAAATCTTGTTAAAACGGACCGTTTAAATGCATACTCTATATAGTATTTGACTTAAAATTAGGAGAGCATTGTATTTATACACGTAATCACTGGTCTCAAATCTTTCCCACAAGAACAGTTGTTTCACTACCGCCCACTTCCTGCCAATCTAGTCCGGTTAAACCGATGTGCTGATAAAAATTATCCGGATAAAGAGATAACATTTCTACCGAGTGTAGTCCGGTCAAACCGATGTCCGGTTAAAAGGTGTCCGGATAAGAGGGAGTCTACTGTAGTAAAGAATATTTAATCCACTTTCACTCGTGTATTGAACGTTGCCTTTCTTAATTTAGGCTAACCATTCTATTTGTTAGTACAAAAATTAAGAATGCTTTGGCGTGTTTAATGTGTAAACTTATACAACAAATTAATATTGTTTCCAGTAAAAATTATCACTTACTTGTTTTCTAAAATATTATAAAGTTTGTTGAATTTTCTTCAACCAATTGTACGTTTTAGAGTAAGTTATCATGGATTCTATGTTTTCAATGCTAGGCTATGGTGTGGGGTTGTTCCTAGGTTAGATGGTAAACGAGGGAACGACTGATCTATTTTGGATATTTGCCCCTGGTCTATTTTAGTTCCTTACCGACAGCCATGCAAAAATAAAGAAAAAAGAGCAACAAGTTTGTTCCTCCTCCGGGGATTATGGGGGTCCTGATAAGGGGCTAAAGAAGGGTATTGCTTAAAGTGAGAAAAACAGTATTCAAAAGAAATGACAAGCAGTACCAGAACAAAAGAAAGAAATAAATAACTATCCACTATGCAAGAGAATGATTGAAGAAATATCTAGGCTTACAAAGGGATAGTCTGTACAACCACCCAAGACGAAGAATTAGCCTACCTCTTAAATGACTTTCCTATCTTCAGATAAACTGTAAAGCCTATGTCCCATGATGCGTTGCGCACGGCGTGAGGCGTCCCACGAGGCCTGCGGGGGTACGCGCCAGAGTGGCACGGAGCGGGGTTGCGTGTCTGTTCCCGTTAAATATCGGTAAACATCACGGGTCGGAGCGAGGACCGCCCTGCGCTAGTCCTATTCATTACATGTTTCGTTAAATTTAAAATTTAAAAGAAATTAAGTAAACATTAATTTACCACTCTGACTAAACTGTGATTATTTGTCTATCAAATGTGCATGATTTAAGTTATATTTTGTATGTTTACAGGAAACAGTTCAGAAGAACAACTATTTGCAGTCAATCAAATCGTTATTTATGACTTTTGGAGAAACTGTCAGAACCTACATGTTCCCTGGGCCGTCTTCTAGATCGTCAAACGTTTAACAGATCTGGAAATCTTCAAACCTGTAGAATTGTATTAATTGTACAACATATTTTATGATTTTGGTGCTTTAGACTGCGTTATGTCTTGACTGTCCCACTTGTTATTAAACTTAAGAGTTTATTTTTTACTAGATTATTTACAAAGTGTAAAATAAGTCATAAAAGAATATTAATTTCAGATTTAAAAAATCTTTGGTATAAATATTTTACTGTGCTGACTAAGTTTTTATTGTGTTGTGTAACTGTACTTGTGCTATCAAGTTAAAACTTGTGTAGGTTGTATTTTTTTATTGAACTTTTGTAAACCAGATATTTGTATCAATAAAAAGTACCCAACAAAGTAATTTTATTTTTGTCTATCCCAATAAACAGCAACTATTAAAAAATGTTAGTGGAGGGTGACGTTATTTGCACCGGAGTAGTGATTTTCAAACAAAAAATGTGGATTTTTGAACGAGGTTCTCTGTGAGTGTTTTTCACTGTGCCATTTCATAAAGAGTATTAAAGTTTTACTAAAGTTAGACAATACACATTGTCATCATGAAAAATAATAATACTGTTAGTCTATTGTTTCTTATGAGAGATATAGTCTATGAAAAAACTAAGAGATTTGAACTTGAAGGTCTGTAATAAATTAAATAACCTAGGTATTGTCTTTGCGGGTGGTTTTTTTGTCTTGTTTGGTCATGGTTATATGCTTATATATGGGCTGTAATTTGTAAAGAAACTACGCTACTGCTTTGGTCTTGTACAAAACGTTATTGGAGATTAATGAAGTTTATAGTGTATTTTTATACCTAATATTTGCATGAAATGCAGTACCTAACTTAATTGGACACTGATAAATGAATTGTTCGCCAAAACCTCAACATAGGACTACCATTTAAAAAAAAATCATACAAACATGATTAAATTTTGCTGAAAGATACCTTTTTATTAATGTTCTATTTTTTATTTAGATAAAAATTAAAATATCAAAAGAAACTAAACTGTTTTTAATCAAGACACTAATACAAGACAATATTATTAAAGAAAGAAAATAAAAACATACCTTACCTTACCTATTAGGCCACTTAAACCTCAGAAGGTTTTTGGCCTCGCCAACAATGCCTCGCCATCTCTCTCTGTCTTGCATCCATTGAGCCTCTGCCCCCAATCTTCTCAAGTCCTTTTCCACTTGGTCCTTCCAGCGAAGCCGTGGTCGTCCCAAGGGCCGCTTTCCTCTTGGTAGTCCTTCATTTATCGCTTTAACTGTTGCATTTTGTTCTCTTCTTGCGATATGGCCTGCCCACCTGAGTCTTCTGCTTTTGATTTGGGCTATTATGTCCGGGTCTCTGTATAGCTCTCAAATCTCTTTATTAGCTGAGTATTCTCCATATTCCATCTTCATTTATGGGACCATAGATGCACCTTAAAATTTTGTTTTCAAACACCATCAGCTTTTTTCGTATGATAATAAAATAAAAACATATGCTTAAATATTAATTAAATAACCATAGAGGTTAACCATATCTTTCCCTTTGTGTTTCTTTTCAGAGTTTAGTCAGGAAAACGTTTCGTAGGTCTTATAATTCTGCCTCTTGATGATTGTTTTATTGCAGCTTCTTGATTGGGAGTAGTTGATCGAGAAAAAGGTTTACTTTTATCTTGAGATATTCTAGATGGTGTAGTAGTTGTTCTTTCAGCAGTATTTGATAGGGAAGAGTTGTTTTGAGTAACAGTAGTAAATGGCAGAGGATCTGACATTATATCTTTGATGGATAAAGGAATAGGATTGTTCGGTTTGGTTGTATTACCTTTGTAAGGCAAAAGGTGGTGTCAATTCCTTCTCATCGTAGTGTTTCCTGTCTTAACCCAGTATGACCTTGGCTCTTGTCCTAAGCTGATAATAATAATAATCCCCTCTCTTTTTAAGTCTTGGATCCATAATTTTTTACCTCCAGGCAGCGATGGAAATTAAGTATGTCCTCTCCCTTTTCCCCCATACAGTAGATAAGCACGTCAATCTAATGCTTTCCCGAATGTAGAGCTAAATTACTAAGGGAATAATACCTCTCAAAACGAGTCTTCCATGTCTTCCAGTCGTGAGGGTTGAAGGAAAAGGCTTCATGAGGCTTAATGTTCAGGGATGCGGGTTCTTCATTTGACTGCGCCATGTTCTATTTCTTATTTAGATAAAAATTAAAAGATCAAAAGAATTAAACTAAACTGTTTTTAATCAAGACACTAATACAAGACAATATTATTAAAGAAAGTAAATAAAAACATATGGTTAAATATTAATTAAATAATCATAGAGGTTAAACAATTAACCTTTTGTTAATAACTGATAAATATACTGTATACTAACTTACTAGTAAAATAAGTATATATATGTCATTACCAATACCGAAAGTGGCATTTTCCGGTACACGCTCAAGTTTAATGTACGAAGCAGAGATGAACACAGGAACACCAAATTTCACGTCCGAGGCAAAGCAGAGCAAGAGAGCATGTGAGAGTTATTTCCACAAACAAGGCGAAACTAATGATGGGAATAGTTGGAGCAAGTGCCTGAAAATCACTTTTGTTACAAGTTATGAATGACACTTTTCAATATGACGCAAAAATACTCGCAGAATAGAAGACCTCGGTAAATTAAAAATATTATTTCTAAATAATAAAATTAAAATAGATGGTACTGGTAACAGCAGTCTGACACACATCCTACCATTAGCTTGTCAAAACCCCTTATAATGGGCAAGTGGGATGGGTGTTCAACTATGATTTCATTAAAAAGTATTAAAGTAGGTATACAATACAAACATACACACACAGACATCACTTCAAAAACCACTTTTTGGGGTTCAGTGGAGCAAAATAGATTTCCACCCAAAACTCAACACTTTGATGAAAACAAAACATTCTCCATTATAGGTACTAAGTACAAAGTACATGGAGACAAAGTAATGCCTTTGACTAAACTGTATCCTTCTGTATCCAATAGTCAATGGTGATGCAGTAAAAACTTAGCAATAGCATAACTTAACCAGTTAACATCACAAGTTTCAAAGTAATGGTTATGAGTGCAACAACAACGAAAAACACAAAACTAACTTTACTCTGTTACTGTTCACATTTTGTATTGTTTTGTTAAGCAGTGAAAACAGCTGATTTCAATAGTCGTACATTGTAAACAGACAGTGGCCAGTAGTGGGGAAATGAAATGTAGAACTGTTTGAGGATTCAAGGGGCAAGGGAGAGTAAATTTCTCAAGGTAGGCAAGAGCAATTAATTAGTTATTTGTGCAACTAGTGAGAAAAGTGAGCAATTGACTCACTCGAGAGAAATCCTTACTCACGAATGGTTTCTCGAGTGAGGCAATTGTACTTTGAACTCGAGTTGCACATTATACTTTTCCTACAGTTACCATAAAACAAATAAATTTGTGAAGAAACATAACCTATTTTTACACAAAAGTGAACTTTTAATATAACATTTAATGTGAAGTGACAAATACAACAGTACAACAGCTGACCAGCTGATTTACAGCCAGTGCTGCCAACGTATTTCGCGCGCATACGACGTTGCCTGCAGGTTACGCGCTCACTATTTCGTGCCTTCACGTTGCAAATCTGGAGTGAGACAAAGTAATTAGAGTGAGACAATGTTAACATTGTCTCACTGATGAGCGAATTGGCCACTTTGCTTTCTCAAATCAGTGAGAGAACATGTACATTGTTAGGTAACTGTAGGAAATAGTTATTTGTGCAACTAGAGAGAAAAGTGAGCAATTGACTCACTCGAGAGAAATCCTTACTCATGAGCCGTAGGCGAGTGAGGAATGGTTTCTCGAGTGAGGCAATTGTACTTTGAACTCAAGTTGCACATTATACTTTTCCTACAATTACAATCAAACAAATAAATTTGTGAAGAAACATAACCTATTTTTACACAGAAGTGAACTTTTAATATAACATTTAACGTGAAGTGACAAATACAACAGCTGACCAGCTGATTTACAGCCAGTGCTGCCAACGTATTTCGCGCGCATACGACTTTGCCTGCATGTTACGCGCTCACTATTTCGTGCCTTCACGTTGCAAATCTGGAGTGAGACAAAGTAATTAGAGTGAGACAATGTTAACATGATGAGCGAATTGGCCACTTTGCTTTCTCAAATCAGTGAGAGAACATGTACATTGTTAGGTAACTGTAGGAAAAAGCTGTTTACCTAGCTCAAAAATTATATTCTGGGAAACAGTAGCCCCCCACACACTACCACACCAGACCTTCAGACTCAGACCAGACCGTCTGGCTGCAAGCATGCAGTCTTTTATATCAATTATTGCGGTATGGCAACGACACCTGGGTGCGTAATTTAACACAAAAATGATTGAAAGGACAATGGATGTAATGGGCGAGAGATGATCAGTCTGTGTTGTAGTTTAATTTTTTACTGACTAAGACTAATGTACGAAGGCACTACTAAGACTAGTGGTTTTGATTCATTTGTTACAGTATTGTCATGCCAGGATCATTTACAAAAAACACCAATGATCAAGGTCCATGGTGGAATTTTCCTTCCACCATGATCATAAGGTCAGCTCGAAAGCTGGGTCCAGTATGAACCATAAAAAAGTGACACAATTTTCGGGAATCAGTATCTTATTATTGGCTACCTTATAATGATTATTAGGTGAGCACTATTTATAACCACACTGAGCCAAGGCCACCTTTATCTCCAGGCCGCGGCCTTCGAAGTGGCAACATCGCAAGTGAGTTGAAACAGCTGTTTTGTTTTGGAGGCAGCTAATGGTATTTGTGTATTTTTTAATAATATATGAAAATATAAAAATATTGACTCCACTTTAAATATACAAAAATAGATTTTCAATTTAAATAGTTTTTTTTTGTTTTTATATGTTTTATTTTCAATCTTTTAATACAATGTATGTTCATAAATGAAAATTTAAATTAATAATACGCGAATTTATGAGCTGGTGTCATCTGTCTGCCATGTTATCTTATGGGACGTCTGGCGCTAAACAACACCACTTGCAACGTTGCCAATTCTACCAGGCCGCGGCCTGGAGTTAGAGGTGACCGTGACTGAGCACTGATTAGAGCTATATAAATTAGTTATCGAAAAGAACTACATTCTACATAGGAGCTATACAAAATTAACTGGTGTGAATTTTTTGATACACTGTATGTGAATGCGGTAAGTTTCCTACTTTGGCAACTGAAATTATTGTGTACACAGTATATATTTTTTCATTATGAGTTATTTGCTATATCTTTATGACTGACTAAATATTGTTCTTTTCCAAGGACGCAGTTTTCTTAAAATATGTTGAATAATTTGTACGGATATAATTCAAACAGTAGTCCCTTAGTATACAGCGGCCATATGAAAAAAAAAACTCCAGACTATTATAGTAGATTAGTTAATGTAATTAACTCGAAGGCCCAATCTAAGAGCATTTTTCAGCTTTGGCATAGAATTGGTTGTGGGCTTTTGGAATTGAGTTAGTTGCAGAGGTTTCAATAAGCTTGATGGGTTCGTCGCCAGTAACAAGTCATTCTAGCTGTGTTTCCCAAGACTTTTATATTTCATGGAAATGTGTAACGATATCATAAATATTTTATGCACTTAGGCAATTAATTGTCTAACAACTTATTATCCTTGCCATAATGGCTTTACAAGTTACAAGAGCTTTGAATCTTATTTTTATTATCAATTTTGGCTCAAACTTTTAGCTCAACTTTTACATTGCGTGTTGACTCTTGAGAGTACAATAGATAAAATTTCAAGAGAGCTATCACACACAAATCCTGTCAGACCCAAAGAACATGGGTTGAACCGATTGCCCTAAAAGAGTTTGTATTGATGTACAGTTCAATAACCTGCTTTCAAAGTTCCACACAGGCGTAGACAATGAACTAATCTAATTGTGAACAAACAGTATCGTTGTAAAAAAATACACAAATACCACCTCCTCAGCAAACCTATGCAGAATAAGCGAAATTCCATTTACCTGATTGGATTTTCAAAAAATCTAATTAAATAACATTCGGTTTAACATCAAGTAAGTACAGTACCTAGGTTTTCTGCTACAGGGAGGGTAATAAAGTGGGTTTTTTTTAGTAAAATAATAGCCTAGGATACAATTAATTTGCAAAGTTTGATCAAAATAAGGCTTCTAGCAGAACTTGCTTCTATTACAAGGACCAGAATGAAGGAAAATATTATAGCCTCGTGGTTATTCATTTTACAAGACTGCCACTCCAGTCTATTGGAACGAAAAAACCTAATGTTGTTGTTTGTTAGTCATCTGGACTGGAGTGGAGTTACAGTGTTGCAGACTTTGGAATTTGTTTGTTTGTTTATTTTTATCGTTTGTTTGTTTTGATTGAATTTGAATAGCAGATTTATATTGTTAGACTGTGCTGATAGTATCTGTCAGTAGTGTCAGTATGGTTATTGGTTAAGGTTTCTTATTTTGAATCTGTTCGACAAGTTTAGTGTTTTAATTTTAACGTCGATTTGTCCGTACCTTTAAAGTTAAGAGCAACACTATTTATTTTTGTTATAAAATAATCTCCGAAATATAATTCTAGACTCAAGCTTTCAAAATGAGACTTTTAAGCAAATTATTTTATACAGTTCTTTCATTCTGTTCGCTTGTTTTTACACTATCTAGCCTTATTACTTTCTATAAATTCCTCTCTGATTTCCCATCAAAAATAAGCCTAGCAACCACAGCTCCTCAATCAGGTAAGTCAGATTTAAGTTAAGATACAAGAGATCTAACGACACTTTTATTAGGCCTAGTTTCCTTTGAACCGTCAACATAGCCATACTTAAGTTATGACTTTGACTTATTTCCTGTCACTCCTTAGCAGAGCCTAGGTAGGGCCTCTACGAAACAGCGCTAACGAACACGATTAGCAGCCAATGCCTTTATAGGCCTACTTATCTCCAGCTTTTTTCCGCCTCTCTGATTTCGGCTTCAATTGTTCTCTTCCTTGTTTTTCTCGGTCTTCCTCTGTCCCTGGGGATTCGGCTGCACTTTACTTGACGTCCTACACTCATTCGATTGTTTTTTCGATTCAATATTTTCATTCGATTGTTTCATTCGATATATCGTTTGGTTAGTTAGGTTAGGTTAACCTTACCTAACTAATTAAACGATATATCGAATGAAGCAATCGATATATCGATCGATATTTTCATTCGAATGAGTGTAGGACGTCAAGTAAAGTGCAGCCGGGGATTCCATCTTAACGCTCTGTATAATTTTTTACAACGATACCGGTATACTGTTTGTTCACAATAAGATTAGTTCATTGTCTACGCCTGTGAAACTTTGAAAGCAGGTATTAATTGAACTGTACATCAATACAAACTCTTTTAGAGCAATCGGTCCAACCCATGTTCTTGATCCTTATGCAGGGATTTGTCATATTTATAACTCTTTGGCGGCTGTCCACAAGTCTTTGTTAGAGATTACGTCTGGCCAATGGATTCTTTAAATTCTTCTTAAGCACAGGTTCACAATACCTGTGGCTTAATTGTTTGTGATTGCTAGAGAAACTTTCCACGTTTCACATCCATTTAAAGTAAAACTGACTTTACGTTGGTGATAAATATTCTTAATTTTGTTCTGGTTGATACTTCCCTAGGTCTCAAAACTGATGGGTATAGTTAAACAAATGCAGCATTTGCCTTCTTGGTTTGGGCCACTACATCATCATCCGCCCCTCCATTTTTGTCAACACACTCCCTAAATATGTAAAAGGATCCACTTCCTCTATGTCTTCTTTGGCCATTGGAAACATATTGTTATTTACTGGATTAATCCTCTTTGATTTTGTCTTTTGGACATTCTCCTTAATACCTCCTTCTTCGTCTTTTACCCACAATGTGGGATTGACAGCGTCACTTAACACGATTACTAATAAAAAAAAACAATATTTACTACTATTTACATACATCCGGCAGGCTACAGGTTTCTTAAATCATCCCTTAAATACTCTGAGACATTGCAATAGGCCCGGCTCTTGATGAAAGTGGTTAACACTGCCTCAAATGTTCTCAAGTCCAACAACAGTCGCACCCTGGGTACATCAAGCTGATGGCACTCCCTGGTGTTGTACTGGTGGACGTCAACACGAGTGCTGAAAGTTGTTAAATTGGCCCTAACGTGCACCAGACAGAGAAGTATGTAGTGGCCAACTACAGTAAGCACACCAAGTCGTGCAAAGAGGGGTTTGCAATGAGCACTAAAGGCTAAAGCTTGATCGATGTTCATACCAGCTGACAGGAGAGAAGTGTCGTCTGCAAAAATGAGGATAGTGCCAAGGTTGTCGAGATCGTTGATCATGATGAGAAAAAGGATAGGCCCAAGCACTGAACCCTGGGGAATACCAAAGTCGACTGGCAAAGTGCCGGAGACAGCTCCACCAACTGCAACCCGGTAGATTTCTCTCCTACTTGTGTTCCTCAATACCTGGTCCAACACAACCAGGAAGAGGGTTGGTGACAAGACACAACCTTGCCTCACCCCTAGCTTTACCTCTATCGAGCTTACCTCTATGTCCATTGTATAATTTTACAACTGTAATTCTTGTACATTTCTTTGATTAAATTAATTATTTTTCCAGGGATTCCTAATCTTGTTTATCCTCTCCAGATTTGATCTCTTCTGACAAGAGTCAAAGGGTTTCATAAAGTCTATAAAAACCAGATACATCCCAACACTGTACCGGTATTTTATTTATTTGTTCGATTATTATTCTCATTGTGTTGATCTGGCCGAGCGATTTCTCCTGAAGCCAGCCTGTTCTTTTTTTAATTTCCTATCTACTACATAATTGATTCTATTTAATACTTTCCTTGGAAAACATTTTACCAAGATGATCGATAGCAAGGATATACCTCTCCAGTTCTTGCACCTTTTTAAGTCTCCTTTCTTTGGCAATACAGTTGAACCTCTATAAGACGAATTTCAAGGGGTAGGGGAAAAATTCGTACTATAGAGGTATTCTTAATAAAGAGGGTCGTTTTATCGAGGTTTAATGCTGCTGTTATTCTTCTTATAGAGGTTTCTCCTCGCTCCAAGGTTTCTCCAAACAATGACTGAGGAAGGAGGAGGGATGGGTGGGGGTTTCATGTTGAGACAAGCTTCTGTTTGTTTTGAAAACTACGTACTATGGAGGTTAAGATTATGATAAATTCGTCTTATAGAGGTCACGTTCGTCTTGTAGAGGTTTTGTGCTAAGCATATTCGTTGTATAGAGGTTAATCAGTCCTAGCCCATGTCACAAACAAATTCGTCTTATGGAGGTTTTTAACTTAATTACTACGTTGTATAGAGGTGTTTTTAGCATTGACCTATATGAAAGTGTCAAGGGGATTTAAAAAAATTCGTCTTATCGAGGAATTTGTTTTATCGAGGTTCGTACAAACGAGGTTCAACTGTATAAAAAAAGTCCCACTTTCCTGTCTTGGGCCAAAACCTCTACAATCCAGATTCTTTCAAACAGTGGTTTTAAAAGATAGCCATACGGACCTTCAAATTATTTATCTAATTAGGTAAGGTACCTAAAATAAAATCCTAGACTTGTAAGTTATCTCATGGTTAGGAAAAATGCATATTCCTTACGTCGTTTACACTCTAGCTTAACACTTGATGGTTAACTTATAACATTAAGGCATTTTTAGAACTCGGCATAAGTTATTCATTAAACAACACTTCTAGACTAGGCCTTCCGAGAAAAGCATTTTCTGACGTAAACCTATGTTTTAGATGCAGATGCTGCTGTGCCAAATGCTGTTGAGGCAGTTGCTGTTGATTTGTCTCTGCTGTGTGTATTTATCATATTACACTCGTCACTGATTCCTCTCCACAAGGTCATATCTTCAGTGCTTGGAATGCCATTCCTAAATAAAGTTTTTTACAGTGTAATTTCGGCTTTATCTCTTCAGGTAAGCAAGCATACCAATCTCCTTTGTTATTTCGGTAATTCTTACCTTTTCAGTGCACCCTCGGAAAATTAAATTTTCTTTTTTAAAAACGTAGAAAATAACGCCCTGATTCTGAAAATTATAACTTAGTTTTTTTTGGCGCAAAACCATGTAAAAGCAGAAGAATGGGGATAAAACTGGAAAAGTATTGGTTAGGTTAGTTTAGAATACGTTGAGTTGGGTTAGGTTAGGTTATCAATAACATTGGTATTGTTAGTAACCCAACCCAACGTAACCTAACCAACGCTTTTCCGTACGTAACTTAGTTACATTTCCGTTTTCCGACGGGCGTATATCTGGTAATATTCATTGGATCTTGGAAATTCTTGCATTTTCTTGTTCAGCTTGCTCTACCGGTTAATTTGAGGTTGGGTTGGGTTACTAACAATACCAATATTAACCTAACCTAACCCAACCAACACTTTTCCGGTTGTAACTTAGTAATTTTTAATCGGATCTTGAAACTTCTTGCATATTGTTCAGCTAGATTACCCGGTCAAAGTGTATAGCATACCCTGGATCGATTTACGCAGAACTTTCTTCCCCATTTTGCGACGCTTTTTCGGCCGTATCTCCGTTAATATCTATCGTATCTTGGAAAGACTTGCATATTCTTGTTCAGCTTGCTGTACCGGTTAGAGTACTCACACGACCAATTTCGTCGTAAAATATTTTTTCCGTGGTTTTCCGACATTTTGCACTGCAAAAAAGTTTCATTTTCAGAATCAGGGCGTTATTTCCTAGGTTATGAAAAATGAAAATTTTATTTTCCAAGTGTGCACTGACAAGGTATGAATTATCTTTATTTTTTTGATTGACTTTTAAACTCCTAAATATTTATTTTTGTGTGCGCTACCTTCTCCTAAGACACTAGGATCAGATCGAGCTTATGAACCATCTAACACATTCATTTTATTTTGACAATTGCAATGCATTTATTTCCATGTTTCAAGCAATACAGCTTTTTGAATTGATTAGACATTAATTCAGGCTAGGCCTATCTTAGAGGGCTGTGACATTTCACATTAATTCTTACGTGTTGGGTTCTAGTGTGCCAGCTACCTGAAGATTTCACATTCAATTTAGAACTGTTGGATAATCGCTACATAAGCTGTTGATTTCGGGAGACAAGGAGGTGTGGGTAGGACTACATCGGAAACAGAAGAAAGGAGATATTAAATGAGTGGTAAATGCATTGGGAGCAGAGTGTTTTGTGTTAAGGTTTTTTCGGATATATACCTGACATCAGAAAGAGACTGGAACAAGATTGGGAGATGGGCCATTATGAAACACAGTTTGTAACAGGACATGGACAATTTCAAGGCAAATTTGTGAAGATTTCACATGGTGGAAGAGGAAGTATGTAGATGTGGAGAAATAAAAACCATGAGTCACGAATTTATAAATTGTTCACTTCAGGAGACAAATAGGAGAGAACAGGAAGAAGTCTTTCTTGGATAAGATAGGTCTAGAGATGAGAAAATAAAACTTGATGAGTGACAAGGAAACAATTGAGACGTTTAGAAAAGTAGATAGGGAAATAGGAAAAACCAGGGACACATACAGGTGAAAAAAATTAAAAAAAGAAACAAACAAAAACTAAGAAAGAAAAGGAATGAAAACTTGCCCATGAAGGGGAGAGGAAAGGTTAGAGAGAATCTCAATGATCCCTATCACTCAGGGCGGTATGGGGAAGGGAGTCATCCTGTTAGGATTTTGGACACATAATGTGTCTGGAAACCTATTGCGGCTATGAGTAAGGCTATTTGTAGAAAACACTATTTGCAATAAATGTTGATTATATCGATCTGTTATGTACATCTTGAGTATTTCCGTAGTCTTTGAGTTGAATATTTTAAAGTCATCAGAAATTATGACTGTTATTCTTTTATAAAATAACGCCTGTAATACTTAGAAATTGCTCGAATTCGAGCAACAGGTACACTAGTGGAAAATAATTGATTTACCACCTATATTTTCAGCTTATTGTGCGTTGGTGGATGCCAATCCCCGAGTTTACTTTTTGGAATGTGGATACTCAAGATGTTGATAAGCTGCGATTCTTCACTGGTGTTCATATTGTCAGTTGGATATTGATCTATGCAATGATGATTACTATAGGTTTGCCAGATCTGCTAGGATTAAAGCAGGTATGTAAAATCAAAAAGATCTTGATAAGAAATAAGGATATATAGAGATAGGGTACCTGTTTTTTATTATTCTGTCAAATTTTATGGAACAAGTACTGTAAAAGATTTGTTTGTATTACTTTTATCTTAGTTTTTAGTTATTAACATGTTCACTGCGGGCGTATCCGATCGGATACGGGCCGAGCGGTGTTCGGGTGCTACAGTAATTGATCGGCAATGCCTTTTGTAGCCTATATCTTCGTTTTTGCTCTAGCGTCGGTCAAAGGCGGACCTATACCACGTTAGCGTGTATTGGAGGTGACTGTTTGTTGTGGTTTAGGTTGGTAGTAAAATTTCCCTGTAAAATCCCCCATCTGGCAAGCTTAAAAATCAACTTGTTGTCTCGTCTTTCCCCCTTCAATTGGCAATACAATGGGACCGCAATTTTTCTTTTAACTCAATTTCAGAGAATTATTCATATTTATTTATTGTATATTTCATGTCTATAGGATTTGTATCAATGGAAGGTAAAATAATAATAGACATTAAACCAATAAATAGGTTTCTTTAGGAATGTTATAGTTGTAAATTCTTATAACATTATCATTACCAAACAAATTGACCTTTTACAGGTCTATTGTCACATGACTGGGCGTTCAGAAGAGTCTACTATGAATTCAGAGCGTATGAAACATTTCCATCAGAAAATGAGACACCCATCGTTCCTAGGATTTGCACTCATATTTTGGGTTTATCCTTGTATGAGGTAAGTATGTGTTGGGAGTTTTAAAGATGCCAAAGCGAAGAGTAGTTTGGGCTATTAATTAACAGCTGTGTCTAAGGAATGTCGGCCTTAGTCACTAACAAGACTACAAGATCGCGCCACTCATCTCCATTCATACTTGGCTTAAAATACCTTACATTGTATGGTCGCCATTTCATAAGAAAGTATAAAGAAAAGTATAAAGTAAAAGAGCAAAGAGTTTTGGGAACAAAAGTTCCCAAGATATTTTCAAATCAGGCTAACTTCAAAATTTAAGGAATGGAATCAAGTGATTGAAAGCTTAATTACTCTAAATTGGACTAGGCTGGTTTTTATTTCATGTAAAGAAAATATTGAAAGCATCTTATTTTGCCCAAATTAATTAATGCAGACTATGAACAGCAGTTGTTGTTATGAGTACCTGTAACCGGTGCTAGTTTTCAGTCTATGTTCTATTAATAATTATGAAAATTGTTGCTTTACGATTTATGGAGCTCTCAATCAATTCCCCTCAAATTCCAAGACGTTATATGTCATGGAATTTTGGTTAAATGTTTTTAGATCACAAGTTGGGACAATTGCGGATTGTAGTTCTGCAATTATGAAATGATGGCATAGTTATAACTGTTTTCACTAATATTCACCATCAATTCATTAGTATCATGACTAGACCTACCAATGCAATTCTCAATAGCAAACTTTCAGCAATTAATAAAAAAAAAAAAAAAAACAATAATGCACCACTTTTTACTTGGCACTAATTACTCCGTGGTCGTACATGGCACAAATTTGACTATCAATTTCATCAGTTTAGAATTTTCTGTAAAAAACGTTATCTTACCAAACATTTTAGAATTTGCAGGTTTTTAATCACAGCTCTCATTTCAAAATTTCACCATAGTACAATTATGGAAGGTTGCGATAATGGCAACAGTTTGTTGCAAACTGAATGTAGAAACATTCTGACTCAAACCCCATTTACAATAACAAATTGTCTGTTATCTTATAAATAGGTTATCTGAAAAATATTTTTATGATTTTTAAGTTATAGTACAGTTAGGCCCTACTGTTATTTACACTTTAAATAAATGCTCATAAATAACAAATCCCTGAATCACTGACTATTTGTATTTCAGACTAGATCGTCTGCTGTTGGCAACAGTGTGGACTCTGTACATGCTGCTGGCCTGGCGACCCGACACTTACACTTTTAACTATCTGGTGCAGCAAAACATGGCTAAGCGGTCTGCCTTATAAAGTCCTTCCACTTCACTTTCAATCATAATCAAAGACTGACAATAACAGTATTCTAACTTTAAGATTTACAAGTTTATAACATCAACTGCCTTGTATATTTTGCTATGTTTCTAAAAAGAGACTATGGTGATTTGTTTAGTTAGATTAACAAATAGTAGGTTAAAATTTGTTAAATTATTAACTTTGAATTGTAGCCTACAATCAGTTGTAGTTCTCGTTTTTATGTGAGCTCCATGTAGGTAAGGATGTTAACTATGATGCACTAATGTTAACTAAATGTTTAATTTTTGTATTTTAGGGTATATTTTACAATTTCTGCTTCACAGGATGGTAATAATTAGAGAATAATGTATGGTTTAATCTACACAATCCAGGCGCAACTAACATTAAAATTGTCTTCAGCTGTTCCTTAAGGATCACAAATAATCTATAAGGATGTATGTATAATATAGGTACGTTTTGTTTGGATCTTTTTTTAAAGTTCAAAAGAAAATAAATCAGATTAAAATAAAAAGGCTTTGAATTTTGGCGATATTCAGTTACTAACATCATTGACCATTGACTATACACCGTCTCTGTGTATAGTCAATAGTAGTACCCATTCCCATGAGTCATTAAGTTTTTTTAGATTTTAAATGGATGTAGTTAAGTTGAGCTAAATTTGAAATCAACTTGTTAATCATAGCATCTGTTGTGTCACATATAATTAATGAAACTAAAATATTATTTTAAACCAAACCCCATTCTGTGTGTGGTCGTGCAACTATTTAAAACATTTTGGGTTGTCTACTTAGGGGCCCAAAAGTCAAAAGCAAATCCCAAACTCTGCTAACCTATCAAAATGAGTAAATTAACTGTATGTAAAAAAGTTCTAAATAAATATATTTTTCTATATTACAAGTAATTATTATTACCATACTACTGATTACACCAGATATTGTAGACAGGAGCAAGAAACCTTGTGTAGGTAGCTTTTACACTCACTAAGCTCAGATTTTCAAAGCTATTTATTTTTTAATATTTATCACTTAAGGTACGTCGCACACTGGGTCCGCTCAGTTCAGTCGGTTCGACAAACTTTCAGTTAAGTCCGCTCTGTCCGTCTCAGCCACTTTTCGGTAAGCGTGCGATTTAAGCGATGGAGGGACCGAAGGCATGTGCAGAATACATCAGTCAGTGTTGTGCAACTGAATTAGGGTGGTCTGACACATGTTCGTAGTAGGTCTACTGTGATTATTTATTAAAGATGAGTTCCGATGAATGATTTATTTCTGTTGTACAAATGTATCCATTGTTGTACGACCTGTCACACAAGGATTACTACAATATTACAATGAAGGAGGTGATAATCCTTTTCTGTAGCTAGTGCCAATGCTATAACAGTAATTTCTTCGTCACTACTGCTGTAACTAATAATCGCACTAATGAAACCCCGGCACAAATTAATAATTTACTCGCGAACAATGACAGCGTCTGTCCACTGGCGTTTGGCGCTCAAAAATAACTGAACTGAGCAGACTTAACTGACACAGTTTGGGAGAAAACTGCCGGAACTGAGCTGACTGACCTGAGCAGACCCAGAGTGTGACGTGCCTTATTATTAAATAAGTATATTCACTATAGATTCCTTCCAATTAACCTTTATATCGAAATATTTTTTATAAATTATTTAAATGTCTTTCAAAACGGCATGTCTATATTTAACCAAAAGTGTAAAATGAAGCGTGGTTTATGTGAAACTCACTAATGCCGTCAAATTTCACCCAACCCTGGCACTGTTTGTTATGGTGAGTCCATCCATCTGATAAGCCACACATTAGTTAACTTAATATAGATTGCACACATACGCAAATCTAACCTGCGCATGCATAACAATATCAGAGGTACACTCGTCAGCACAACAAGTTTACCAATTCAGCTTCCATGCCACTATTTGACTGTTGGCTGGACGGGATGAGTGCTGCCGAAGCCTGAATAAGAATAGGCACAAAAGTGAGATTCAACGGGTTACTAAAGCGCCAATGCCAACGGGTTGGTGTCCCAAATTACCTTGACAACAAGACCCTTGATAGCAAAAGTGTAATTTTGGGAAAGATTGTTTTGTCAAAAGTTTTTTTGAGTTTTAGGTGGATATATCCTTTTTTGGCCCCCCTGAACCCAAAAAAGTGGTTTTAAAGTGATGTCTCTGAGTATGTCTGGCTGTCTACCTGTATGTGTACAGAGCTACAGACCACCATTTTTATTTGAATTGTATTTTTCCATAAAAACCCATAATATTACGGAAAAATCAATTTTTAAAAAATGTATGTTTTACTCTTTTTGACTCTGAATCAGATGGTACCCCCCCCCCCTTGCTGTAAACATAACAAATTAAAAGTTATTGCAACTTTTGTTATTTTCTCCATAAATCCTCACAGAATTAATTAATTAATTCACAGAAAAATCAGATTAAAAAAAACTTACAACCAATTCTGATTCAATTTGTGTGTATGTTAAAGTCCTTTTATTTTAACTCTTAATGATGTGGCACAACCAACAAGTCTTATTTAATAATCCCTTGAGACTTGTTATCGAGTTTAATGTAATTCCTTATAGATATATCCATGCTATACAATTTTTCAAAAGGATTCAGGATGAAAAATGTTTTTGTTCAGTTTATGACAAATTGTTTAATTTTTTAAAAGTAAACCAACTTAGAACCTCTAAAATACTATATTTGGAAGTTTTTTTTTGTTGTGCAAAACCTAACAAGTTTTCCACTTCCTTTAGATTATCCTCCATCCATCTATATTTTTTAGTAAAAACATTAAACCTTTATAGTAACTAATATAATTCTTAAAATGTATTTAACATTAAAGACAAAGTATCCTTATAATATATGAAATAAGGAAGTAAATGTGACAAACACAAAACATTGACCCGTTACAGCAACGGGTCTCAAAATATTAATCTAACTTAACGACCTTATGCTTTTAGCTGCCACATACATTTACTGGGTTTGTATTTTATGTCAACTGTTAATTTTGAAGTTTATAAAAATTAGAACAAAAATTAACGAGGACCTTTAAAAAATCATTTTAGGTTCTGCAAAACCAATAATGTTTTCACTAATTTGTGTATATCAATTCATCTGTAACTTTTAATAACAACAATTACCGTACTTAAAAGGAATTTTATAAAGTATTCAATATGAAAGAAAACATATCCTTATAATAATATATGAAATATAAGAGAGAAGTAAATTCAACAAACACAATCCATTCACTCATCACAGCAACATTAGTCTACTAACTTTTGTTTTTGGCTGCCACATTCGTCAACTGGGTTTGGATTTTATGTAAACCATCCAGTAAAACATCAAGACTTGGCTTGCTGATAACCATTTTCAGTTCCTCCGCTTGATCTTGACCATCAACCTACAATAAAATCACCAGTTACACTTAGGCTAAGGCCACACGGGCGTTTTTTCGTGCAAGAACGCAGCATGAAAAAAAGCGAGAAATATGAGCAGCATTAAATGTAATGAGGTATGCCACACGCAGTGTTTTTTCACACAGATGCGGCGCGTCTGCAAAATCACCTGCCGCGGGCCCACTGAAGAATGGACTGGGGTGCATTTTTGAAGCTTGTTTTCACGCTCTGTCCCTGGCCACACGGGCGGGAGCAGGACACAGCTTTGATCAAGTCGTTCTAGCAAGTTAAAATAAAGATAAATGTAGGCCTATCTAATTTTTTCCAGGATAGCGTAAAATATTTTATGGTCTAGCCAATTACACAGTAGGCCTACACGTTTTATCTTAAACATGGGTCGACCTTACTGGACCACTTAATAATTTGTTACTAAAATGAAAGGAATTTAGTTGGACCAAAAATTTAAAGAGGCATTTATGTAGTAGAATATTAAAAGATCTGATAAAATGTTTTCCATAAAAAGATTTATATTATATTTTTTATGTTAAATGTAAATAATTAAATGAAAGGATAACAAAATAAAATAATTTTAGTGTTGTTTTTGTATTGAAATTAATAAACCATTCATATTTCTTGTTGTTCACTAGTCAGAAACAAGGTTACTATTCTGGCCATGAGGAAGATACACAACATAATTACAAAAATTCATCAATCAACTGCGGGTTCCCAGAGCGTTTTGCGGCTCCTGGACTTCAACCAGTGTGAGAATAAGCTGGATTTTACCGCGTTAAAAAAAACGCACGTGTGGCATACAACAGCGGGCATTAAAGCAGCGTGAAAATAAACTACATTTTGACGCGTGAATAAACGCCCGTGTGGCCATAGCCGTACAGCTGCTATCATGGTAAGAAACTTAAAAATAAACAAAGGAAATGAGGGCCTATTACAATAGGGAATTAGGCTAGGTACATTGGTAATCTGTATCAAGACTAGTAACTAGCAACAGTAGCCTTTCTGCGGAATTTCATCCACGACCATGTTCGTCATAGAGACTTCTGGTGTGTGTGGATGTGTTGTTTGATGTTCTGTTATGTTGAAGTGTCATAGATGATGCACTTTGAACTGGATTCACTATGACAAGGGCCTATTTTTCTGGAAGTGTGGTAGGTTAGAAAAACTGTCAAAAAGATTGTGAGTCATGACTGACACAATATGTCAGCAACACCACTTGTCCACAACCAGTATTTGTCAGTTTTTGTATTTTAGTAACATTGTAGGCCTATGCATGGAAGTGTTTTGACGACTCTTCACAGCCCCAGTAGGACTTGTTAAGCTTTAAAAGATGGCTGTAATGAAAGTCAGAATTTTCTTGTTTAAAGGGTAAACATTTGAAAAAAAATTACATTAGCCTATTTGAAACCCCCAAATAGTTTGTTCTCATGACCCGATCTTGCTGGTTCACAAACTCATTCCAAGTTTATTTAGCCCTACATATTCAAGCCAAATTTTATCAAAATCGGACGAAATTACGTAAGCTATCTTGTTCACGTGTACGTTCATAAATCTGAACTAAAGTTAATTTGAAATAAATCTGTATAAGTGTGGTGCTTAATTTTCGAGAAACTGAAAGAACAAAAATTCGATCAGCACATACTCACCTTACCCTCAAAATCCCTCGCCCAACACGATAGTATGTTTCATCACAAGGGTGTAAAGTGAATATTTTCAAAACAAGCTTAAGTTAAATAGAAAAGGGTTGGGAAGACCATTTTTTTGTCATATTGCACCACTATTCAGCTGCTTAGTAAAGTAGATTCGTCTATTACGAATGTGTTTGTGTCATGACTATAGATAGATGGCTGTAAATGACATGTCAAACTATTGATGGGTATCAATAGTTTTCTTGAATTTATTGGGCTTTCAGTGCAATAAACAATTTTTTCCTTTGTCATCCATCTTCATAGATTCAGAATTTAAACATATTTGAATCCAGTCGACATCAATGCAACACTTTTGATACAACCAATTGATTACAATGAAAGGCAAAAAGAGAGCAAAATGTATAGGCCTACTGCTGACGTCATGTAGCCTATAGATTTCAGCCAATTTTTACTCCCTTGCAATTTGAGACCTGTAAAATTGAAAATATGTAGCTTATTGGAAACAAAATGTTTGATTGCAGATTACAAAAAAATTGTATTGTGAAAAAAATCACACATGATAAACTTAGAGCAATTGTATAGAAAATGTAATTTAAATGGGTTGAATTGTTTTCTAGAATCAGAGGATGACATTGGCTTACACTGTTCATTGTGCTTTCTCTCAAATCAAGCCTTGTGCATTGATTTTATTAGGTCTTTCACAACTAACTGTGTCTTGTGGGAAGTTATATTTAATTAAAACCCTGTTTGTAACGTAACCTTTTGCCT